GAGACGGCGAAAGACTGTGAAAGAGCTCGTGGAGCAATCACCGTTCCAAGGGCCGTCCGGTCAACACAGCGGTAATCCAAGGCAAGAACCCCCCTGAATTCAAATCCTAGATGCGAGGAGCACCGGGATAAGATCTTTGCAAGCCCAACACCGAGGCTATGGCCGCAAATGATTACGTCTAAGCATTCTTCTTTGATTTCTTTGTGACCGCATGGCAGCCCGTCTGCCAGCAGCTCTGCAAGCACTCTCCACGGAGAGGCATGCGCTATGACCTCTTCCACAGGCTGGACTACCCTGGTGACTCCCCAGAATAAATTCAGTATGGCCCTGAAGCTGAGTGCAACAGGACCTCCTGCTCTGCAGCCACCAGCCAAGGTGATCACTGAGTGGGAGTTTGCGAAAACGCGCTCTCAGGAGGACAGGTCAGGATAGAGCACGGTGCCCGCCTCTTAGCCAAAGGCATGGCGATCTTATCCTACCCCACAGACTCATGCATACGCACAATGCTTGCCTGCATTTAAGAGAAGCAGTTGAGGAGAGCGGGCTACAGCAACCTTCTAACGCTAAGAAGCGGCGCAGCGGCCTTCAAGAAAACCTTTGAGATGCTGGCCAAGGCAACCAAGGCAACTGGCCTATGGACTGTCCAAGGGCAGAGCATGTGACGTCATAGCTATTTTCCGCATGACTCTAGTGACGTCTATGCCCTGCAAGAAAAGCAACCTGGCGCAGAGCAGCAAGAAACTGACCTTCAGCAAGTGCTGCTCCGGGGTTTTGCCGGTTTTGCACTCGAAGTTCAAATGCCTCATGTTGCCTCATGGGCACACTATCGGCGCTGGTCGGGGCTGGCAGATAGCAGCGCTGCATCAGCGCATCTGGAACTTATCAGCCGACCGTTGACCCTTTGCCGGTCGAAGTGAAGGTGCAGGACGTGCTGTTGAGCTAGTGAAACATCTTTGGCATCTCTCAGGGCGTACGTGCTAGTCGGGAGCTTGGGAATGGCTACAAGTACAACATTGGGGATTACTAGAATTTCAGTAACTGGCTACATGAGTACGGAGCTGTGATTGCATGTGTTTCTGCTGGCGACATCTCTTCCAGCTGGCAGGCGCAGCCGCATGTGCCAGCAGTGGGGCAGCACCAGCGTACTTACTGCGCGGATGGCAATACATTGGCGGCATGTCGCCATGCAAACTCAGTTGGAAGGTCCATCATTAAGGCAACAAGCTTGCAGCATAGAAGAAAGTGCTGTGCTTCAAGCGAAGCCGTTTTCGACTGGCATGCGCGCAGCTACAAGTAGCTGCCGCCGCAAAACTTGCAACATCGAAGCCCTGGTCTGAGCTGTGACAGCACTTTGCACAGCAGCTGACTTAAAGTGCTCAGAAAACCTGCGCAAAGCTTTAGAACTGAAAATGAGAGTACTGTAAAAAAGGATGTGCACATAGTTGGGCGTTCTGCCTGCCTTCAGAAGTGTGCAGGCCACACAGCAGGGCGATCCTGCCTCCTAGGTCAGGGTCCTAGCTTGGCCCACGGTGACAGGTCAACATGAAGGGCTTTGCAAGTGTGAGAAAAGAATATGAATCTATAGCCAAGTCAAAGACGCAAGGCCGAATTTCTGTCTACCTGTGGTCCTCTTGGTTAGCTTCACGCGCAGGTCCGGCCCACAACGTCCAGACAAGGCTGAGTACTGTGGCAGCTCCGAGAAAACGTCCTTCCACACAATCAAAAGCTATGGTGAAACACAACTGCTCCCAGGGATACAGTGGAGCGCAATCCGGAACTTTTCAGGTTCAGCTCGCTCTTGATGCATAGCGGCCTCTAAGCACCTGCTGCATGAGCCTTGAAGCAAGAAAGTAATTTGAGTATACTCCCATCATCCAGAGCCAAGCTGTTGCTACTAACTGCCTAATAACCCCGATCTAAGCTCAACAGCAAAGGTACAGGAGCAAGCCAGCTTCAGGTGTGCATGTTGCCGCGACTCAACATCCTGAGCTGGGCGATTAAATCCGTCTACGCTAATAACCTCAGTGGCAGCGATGCCTCCTTTGTTGCCAAGACGGGCAATCGTGTGACCCGATTCGAACCACTAAGTGCAAACAACAAGGCATGTCACTCTCGCACTTGTTTGGCCACTTGCATGAAGCAAGCTGCAAGGCAAGGCGAGCTCTTCTCAGCTCAGGGAGCTGAGAATGTTACCCATCGGCGTGCGTAGGGCTTCATGGTGCGGGAGGCACGCTGAACCTTCCTGCACCGTCGCTTCTGAAAAAGGCAACGCGAGGAGGACAAGCGAACTGGCAGTGGCTGATGAGCAAGGAAAGCGGTGGCGCAGTGCCTGCAGCGCCTGCACATCGCTTTGATGGTCTGCATGCCGTGAACTGCAGGCAAGTTCAAATGAGCTAGCCAATGACCTGAATAAGCTTTCCTGCGTGAGGTTGTGCTGTAGAAGCACGCATGACAGTGAAGACAACAGCAGGATCGTACAGGCTTCGCAGGAGTGCGGAGATTGTCGCGCTCTTTAGATGCCGGCAAAAGGATACAGTCGAAGATCGACTGCCTGTATGGCCGTCAGCACGTTTTGCTCCGAATTGCTTGATTTCGGGAACCGCAGTCCGGACTACCTTAAGACGGCGCTGGACTTTTGAAACCCTCAAAAACTACAAAATCCATGGCCACACAATGTTACCTTGGCCAAGGTGGCCAAGGGCGTGTGCTCTTGTGCTGCCGTCTCAGGGCAGCCTCAGATTACTTACAGCGTCGGCTTGCAAAGGCTTGCTGTGGAAGCCCTTCACACGCGGCCTGCATCTGAGTGAACAACCTGCAACATACCCTATGCAAGTGGAAGCAGCAGGTGCTAGCTGCCGCTGGGACCATTTGCAAGTCTGGAGGCAGTTCCGAATTCTGGACACAACCAAGGGTGGCTTGCCAGGCCTTGCAAGATGTTCACATCATGTCCAGCAAGCAGTGCATTGCAAGCGGTTTCATATGAGCTACGGTCGAAAATTCATACCTGGCTAATGGACATGGGCTTGGGGTTATCATCGTTGATTGTCTCTCCTATCGTTTTTTAGCATTTCGACTTTTTCACAAGAAGGACTACGTAACACGTCTCAAGCAGCACGGCTCGCTGCATCATGGTTATCGTTTTGTTTTGTCTCCCCTATCGTTTTACACGGTTTGCTGTGTCGGCCACTAAAGTCATGGGAAATTTTGACTGTCGCTACGATTCAGCAGCTTCTCCTTGCAGAGGCGGTGCCGCATTCAGCAAAGGCTTGGGCAGTCAACGCTCGCACGCAAGCATCGCTGCAGACCTCAGCGAAAATGTTCAAAGGCATGACATAGTGGGTTGTCGCTGCTGTCGTTGCACCGCTGTTTCTTTGTTGTTGTGCAAATTGCTCCGCGGCAAGCATCTGAACTGGTGGGAGGTCTGCCAGGCGACGTACACATGTAGACTGTGCGATGGACAAGGGAATCGTAAGACGTGGGATGGAGTGAGTTAGCAGGGAAGGTGTTCACACCAGCGAGCTCTCCAGGATCATCTGGAGGGCTGGGCCAAGCTTTCATCCCCGCTAAACTCCACAGCTAGGCATGGGCATCTACTATCCAGTGTTGCCGTGCTCGTACGAAAGCTCCGAGGCAAAGAAATCACTGGAAGGATGGCTTTAAGGCGGCCGTAGCTGCAAATTGAACTCAAATGCCTGCATGCGCTTTATAGCTCGGCAGCAATGCGGCGGATCATCTGCTCCGACATGTCAGAAATCCGAAGGGACTAAAAGGCCAGGGTCTTGGGAATCAGGCAACCCCGTCCCACTTTAGTTTAAGATTGCTGCCCTTGTTTGGCTGTGCGAACTTGGAAACTCTAGACTTTAGAAGTTGGAACAACGGAACTAATCAAATTTGTTGAGAGCATACTTTCTTACATTTTTTGTAGCAAGGTCCTGCCAATGGAGCGACTCGGAAGGGGTTCTCTTGCCCTCTTCCGCACTAGCCGCTGCATGACCACCACAGCGGCCTCAGCCACTGCTGTTTGCACGCGTCTCGTACTGCCCAACTAGTCACAGGGCCCGAAGGAGCTGTTGCAACTGCTCCTTGCCTTTGCCATGCGCAACTGCTTGCAACATGGATACCAAGCTCGCCAGCAAGCAACTTTAAGGCGGTACGGTCACGTCAGCGCAGTGCGAGGGATGTTGAGTTCAGCAGGCTGGCCAAGCATTGGACATGCACCAGTTTACCGGCAAAGGCTGCCCCTGGACACGTGTGCAAGATTCGAACTCCAGGGCGTGCTGTCAAGCATGCCACGCTCTGCTCAGGAATGTTACAAGACTCGTGGGTTGTTACAGAGCGTAGACTAGCAGTGACTAGCATGAATCCAAGCCCCAGCCTTTTGCACAATATTGCAGCAACTACAAGAAATGCTTGAGCGACAAGGGTTTGAGAACTAGTAAAATTTCTTCTGCTGATCTGCCATGTCTTTCTGCTGGTGCAGGCCGTTCATTGGCACGAGGTAAACAAGGTCAGTACCTCAGCTGCGCATCCTGGCCACGTAGAAGTGTCGGCCAGGACCTGCTCAGGCAGAGCTGGCGCGCTGGCCAACTTCCATCTCCATGAAGTTCTTGTTTTCTGCAGGCTGAATCTCAAAGCCAACGGCTTCGGTGGTCAAGCAACTGCGACTATGGCGTTCAAGCTCTGGCATTTCTATGAGCTGAGCCTTTCTTTTAAGCATTGGCGCATGCTAAGCATCATTGAGCCGGAGACTGCTTTGAATGCAGCCGACCTTGCCCTCCAATTGAGTGTGCTGGGCATTTGAGACTTCTCTAAAAGACTTTGAACGAGGTGAGAGGCGGCAAGGTCGTCTGCACCAACAAGCTATTGTACAGAGGGTGGCCCGAGAGGTGGCATGGCCCACAGCTTAAACGTTCGGGGCAAAGTCAGCTGTTAACACTTGCGCAAGGGCTTCTTGACTGGCTTTCCTACGCCGCCTGATCCCTAGGGCCTAGGGCCTACGTCTATCTGGCAGTCACAGGCTCAGAAGACAGGCGCCTCCCTGAGCCTGGGAAGCAAAAGTCCAAAGAAGTCAGCGCAAGTCAAGGCTGAACCTCCTCAAAAGCTGCTGGGTCCCTTGACCAGGTGAGGAAGTTCCAGGCACCTGGGAGGGGACTGAACATGCCACACGCGTCCTCACATTTACCTTCCAACAAAGTCGCAGAGCTTGTACTGAGCTCCCCCACAGGCTCTCCAAAGCTTTGCTGGACACCTCTCCGCTCCTTGCAGCAACAAGCGGTGTATAGGTTGGGTCAGAGGGCGGTCACTCGGCAAGCAGGAAAGAATGAGAAAGCTAGGTCACAAATATCATGGCTTCGGCTTTCACATGCAAATCAGGCGCAAGTGCCTGACCCAAAAAAACCTTTGCAAATCGCACCGGGCCTGATCTGTGCGGAACCTCTGAGCCTGCCAAGGCTCTCTTCACACGGTCGCAGCATGTCGCAGCCATCCCCTGTGCATTGCCCCACTTGCAAGGCCTCCCACTGCTTTGCCAAGGTGGTGTCGTCGCGACGGGAGCGCTCCAACTGCGAGTCCATGAGTCTGACCTCGGACATCTAAACACAAGAAACTACACACTTGGAAATAACATAACATAAGATGATATCATATAATGTATATAGTTGAACGGTGGGACCTCTTCCTCGAGCTCCCGTTGTATTCGCAGGCCCTCCCTCTCCTCATGGTAACATTCCTGTCAAGCGTTCAAGCGCATAGATCTGAGAAAGTGCTAGAGAGTAATCAGGACTGCATGGAGGACTCACACGTTTAACACGGCAAGCCTCGACACCTGCAGAAAGCTGCGCAGCCTGCCGAAGAAAGCCGAGACTGTTCTCCATGTCCACGAGCCGGCTCCGTACCTGCAGAGTAAGCTTAGTAATCTTAGTTCGCTTGTCAGCACTTTCAAAAGCTGACAAGGGTTAACACGTTGACTGGCACAGCTACCATTGTCAATAGGTTCGAGGCACGGAGGTCGTGTCTAGGTACTTGCACATTGAACTTGTGAACTTCTTGAACACAAAATAGCACCAGCGGGTCACCCGTTCCAGGTCATGCTCCATGTCCTCCACCCGCTGTTGTCGGTGGTCGACGTACTGCACCATTGTGGCGGTTCTGCTATGTGGCTATACGCAGAATCAGCTTGCATGATTTCACCCACCCCTGGAAACTGGATGACTCCATAGAGCTCCACCAAGGTTCTAACGATCGCATTTTACCAGGATAGCTGCGCATGCATCCAAAGAAATTGCTCCAGAGGCTTGCCCCAGCCACATACTATTGTTATTACATCAAGAAGCTCTTAGCACAAACACTTCGTGCACTAGAACAAGCCCAGGTATTCAGTGGAAGTCACTGGGACACCTCAGGGTCGCAGGTCCGGTTCAGCGGCTCGGCTTGGCTGGCAAGTGTCACATGGAAAATGCGGCGCGAAGTCTTCGACTCCGGGCGCCAGTTGCTTTCCAAGTGCTTTGCCAGGAAAACCTGAAAGGTGCCGAAGGGAAAATGCTGCTGTCCGTCCTGGTCTTGAGGTCAACGTGGCGGAATATGAAAATTGGCATAGCCGCGGCTCTTCCGTTCCTTTGGCTGCTAATTCGTTCGCAGAGCAAAGCACTGCAGGGACACAGATCAAACATGATCAAACTGGGAGCCTAACGCATACAACCATCAGCGACGCAGGGCTCTTCGAAGAGCAAGAGCGGTCCGCGGCAATGCATTCTCTGTGAAGCCAGAATTGGAACTCCTGATCTTGGAACTCTCAGTGCAACCCATGGTCCTGTCTCCTGCTTGCAACTTTCTTTCGATGTTTACAGCTCGTCCTTTGAACTCTTGCTAGGCCTGCTCTGTGGACGGGCATGGACTTCGAAGACGCACCTGTGTTTGCTACCAGCTGCAGCTTCTTGGCTTCGCAGTGTGAGTGTACTGAGGAGTATCTCAGGTCTGGGCTTGAGAAAGTGCGATGCGACATCATTGAAAGCTGAGGACGATTGCTAATCTGCATGACCTTTCTACAAGCATCAATGTGAAGCGGCCAGGAATCGCGTCAATAGCTTCGGCCTTCCCCATCGGCATCGCACGCGAGACCTCCTTGCACAGCAATGCGCTCCAATGCTCACGAATCCGCTACGACCTGCCGTGTGAGGAGGGTGTCCTGGGAATGGTCTGATATCAGCATTGGCGCTGCCGCGGACTCGGCCTTTGAAAGTTCTGCTTCCGCTCTTCGAACTCTTTCGCGGGCGTCGCCTTGTGCCGTGTGCGACGACTGGACGTGCAACTCATTGACATGATACACTGAATATGCCATCTGAGGCAGCTTAACATGTTGCTCCACGTCCGGAGACTTGGACTGTGTCTTAGTCAAGCAGCACACCGCCATCCACCCACCACAACGATCCTTTGCTTCCGCCTGCACGGAAACACCATCGGAAGCGTGAAAGCGAAGTGCAGAGTCAGGCGGATGAGAAACTCTCCAGACGGTCCAATATCAAGGAAGCCGAATTTGAGGTTGAATGGGGTTTGATCTCAGGTTTAAGACATTCCCAAGCCTAAGTAAATTACCAAGACATACAGTGAGGGATGGGTGAAGATGTCTCTACATAAGCGGCTCTCCCCATGATGCATTTTGCATTGGCAAGAGTTGCTTTTTCAGATCACTGTTGCAGGTGGGCACTCGAATAGATCAAATTGCCAGCATGGCTTCAGACTTTCGGCAAAAGACTTCTGACATGTTGTCTCCCCTGGCCTCAACTGTCTCAAGATGCTGACGCGAGATCTCTACGGCCGCCTTTGCCTATGCAGCTGCAGCATATGACATTCAAAGCTGCAGGTCCACCCTAAGACATTTAAGCGCCAACTTCGCATTGTGCTAGTCCGCGCCTCTTGCAGCAGCGCCGATGCTTCAGCTGTAGATGCTGGCAATGAGACCTCCAGAACTCAATAGCAGCTGCCACAGCCGTCTACTGGGGATTTCTGAAGCCTGCTTATGAATTTTAGGATTCAGCACGCAGGACAGATGCCAGTGCTTCATCATGTATGACAACCATTGAGCACTCACATATGGTCTAGCACTGAGCCTATTCTCCCTGCGAGCAATGTTGGTTGGTAATCAGGTTGTGACAGTGCAATAGCCCTGGAACCCGCCACCCCCAGTTTCTGGATTGCGCTGGCTGAAATTGTTGCGGCCACAAAGACCTAAAACAAGAACAATCCCTGTTTTATTTTTGAATGAAGAATGATTGGCTGGCACGCAAGGCTTGCACGTCCATTGCTGCAGCGACCCCCCTTGCTACTTCCTGGTGACCTCATGTGGAAGGCCCTGTTCACTGCCTGCGACTCTTCTGCCACGGCCTCCAGGGCTCCAGGAGTTCACATGTAACACGCGCAGGAGCAAATTACGGCTATCATTAATCCAGGCACCGGATCTAAAAGGATTGCGAACTGAAGGGTGGGTCCCAATTGCGAGCTACACCTGCGCCTGCAGCTACCATCGGCTAACGGCTAAAGTCCAATGATTGGTCATGGCATGCGACCTGTGTCAGTTCCCCGAATACAGCTAGTACAGCTTGGGCCCTGTGTTTTTTTTTTCTGATGCCAGGCGCCCTTAAACAGCAGTGTCAAAAATCAAAAGCCTGGATCTCGGCTTCAATCTCTGCAGCCACCCTGGCTTCAGGTTTCGGCAACGATGAAACTTTGCATGGCTCCGGATTCCGTGTGACCATTCGCACCTCTCTGCTGTTACTTCAGCTTCGAGGCGCCGGGCTGAGAGCTCCTGAATACTTGAAACCACAAAACGGAAAGAGACAGAAAGAGTGGATTAGGAAACGAGTGCCTGAGCTGGAGTTTGATCTGGTATGAAGTCGCGAACGACTGGAATCGTTTGCACCACCATCTGCGGGCATGAGCCGATTCAACTGCCATCATGCAAACTCATGTCCATTGCCAGACGCATTCAGAATTTGCAGCACGATAGCCTTCAGCATTTGCAGGACTGCGAAGCTCATTGCAAAGAGCAGGCCTGCATGTCTCTCCACATGTCCTAGATGGAAGCAAGGATACGTCAGGAAGACTGATTGATAAACCAAAACATGCCGAAGAAAGCAACCTTAGCATGCCAAGCGATGGTGTTGTGCTTCCGAGAAGCTGACAACTGTGATGAGATGACTGCTGGTCAGTCTTCCGCAGCCCCGCCTATCATGAAAGCTGCCCAGACCACTCCCATTGCCATTCCCATGGCAGGAACGACGAAGAGGGCCGCTGCCCAAATAAGGAACGGGTACCTCAGCCGACAGCCACTCCAAAAGAAAACACTGTAGATCCTTTTGGACCACCAAGGTGCGGCATGTTTTCGCTGTGCAGTCTTGCAGCGGCACAAGCTCTGCAGTCAAGCTGTGGATCTGTGAAGTTACTGCATTCTTGTGTCTGGGTGCCGTGTGCAGCGATTTCTTCAGGCGTCAAACCATCACATGGGCAAGGGTAATGTCTTTCGGACTGAGTATGACTGTGAAGCATTGTGAAGCGTTGATGGTATGGCCTTGAAGGCCTTGATCAGCAGATGCTGCGGGAAACCGACATTTCATCACGGGTTTTGGAGGCTCTGCAGGAGCTGCATGTGCCAGCTGCCAGCCTCGTGGCCCTGGGCGAGCTCGCTCCTCCGGGTTTCCTTCAAGAAATAGAGCAGACCGCAAACAATGTGTGTCAAGACTAAAAGCGCGTGACCCGCCTCGATCCTCAGCTTCTCCTTCTCCATGCCTGTGCAATCCATCCAAATGGCTGCAGCTGTACAGGGAATATCAACTGTCATCACATCACAAGTGGTGTACAGGCCATTACAGACCGACTCGTCTAAGATCGGCTAAGTCTATTTGCCTGGCTTGTACAAACTACACGCATGGTTGACAAGCATCCCCAAGGGCCACCTTCCACTCGATGCCGACTCTCACTTTGCGCCTGCCTGGGATTTGCTTCAAGAGCTCAGAACCGTCTGCGAACTAGCAAATCAGCTCCTACATCTTCCATCTACGCTGCGTGGCTAGCTCTGCTGCAGCATCACTCCTACATCTCCTACATTCTCCTCCCCTCCGGTCGTGCTAGCAAGCAATGCTAAGCTCGCTTTAGATCACAAAGCCTCAACGCTGTGGAGGCCAGGTCTTTCTCACGCTCACACTCCTCCTTGGCCTGCAAGCCATGAAGCTCCGTGAAGCCAGTAACAGCTAGCAAATGCTAGCAATAGTTAGCATCTTTGACGTTGCCGTGCTGCTTGGCCTGCTCATGAACCCGGCGATGATTGTGCAACACGGCTTCATAGCGTTCCCGGTCCGTGTAGAGAACCTGCACCTTCGAGTTGAGCCCTACCGAGACTGATCAAGTTTCTACACGCCATGTGCGCTGGCCAGAACGAGGAGACGGAGTGGATTCAAGTGGCATCACAAAATCCAAAAAAGCTCTTAAGATCATGCCTAAGATCAACATCTTCCTGCTGCAAGCTGGCAATTCCATAAAGCCTTAGTGCGTCTTAGAGTCCTTAGAGCCTGGCAGCCTTGCCTGCCTTCGACCTGCCTGGTCTCACTGTGTCCCTCATTGTCCCTGCAAAGACTGGCACCTGATTCTCAAGATTCCTCTCCATGACAGACAACACCTGTCACAGACAGAGCTCAAGCTTAGCTACGCGAGCTTCCTGCGAAGCAAAGACAGGTCCCTGCCCTTCTGCAGACTAGAATCTAGTGACTAGGATCTTAGAAGGCTGGTTGATAGCAGCACCTGACAGCAACAAATCGATGCCTCGATTGCCTTCTGTCGCTGGGCCTCGGCCTGACGGCATTACACCACATCCCAGCTCCAACAGCAAAAACTCAACTTCCTTCTGGTTCGAGGACAACTCATTGCCATTCAGTGAAGCAGAGGTTCACATGCAGGACGCCCCAGGCACAGCCCACCTGCCTCCGATGCGACCCGGGCCTCAAGCAAGAAAGATGAGCCCCCAAAGACAAGACTTTTCCCGCTGCTGAAGGATATGACGCCCGGGACATCCGGGACGCCCTGCCCGCTGGTCCACGACCTCCCGCAAGCGCTCTCGGCAGCTTGTAAGAAGCTCCTGAAAAACAGTCAAAAACAGCCCGCGGCTTTTCATGGTTTGAGATGTTGGAGCCTGTCCTGGGACTGCTTCAGTTGTGCTTCTGCAGCCGCCTGCACGATGGCAAAATGCTGGCAGCTGATGATGTTCGCACAACTGGCCCTAACATCATCCATCTCGGTCCTGTCGCGTCGTGCTCTCAACCTCACGACCTTGACAAGCTTTCATCAAATCGATGAGTGGGAAGGCATTGGACTGTGTTACTGTTCGGTGAAACTGATCGAGTGCATGAGACACAGACCAGGCAGCGGAGCGCGAGACAGAGCGATAGAGAGAGACAGAGAGAGAGTGGGTGCAGTCTCTTCACTCCACTTGCGCAAGCCTCCGTATCTTTGGCGCTTGAGGGTGCGGCTCATGATCACGCGGCGCTTGTGCACCAAGTCCCCTGTGTTGCAGCCAGGAATCAACAGAAGGCATGACTGAGGCATGTTCATGATGTGGAATTCCCCTTCCCGAAGGCGCCGGAAAGCTGTCGAATCTCCTGCTCGAGGTCTTCGTTGCAGCCGCTCAGCACGTTGCACATGGCCTACCGGGCAGCTGGAGAGTGTGCCAAAGACGTTGAAGTGGGACAGGCTTATCTACCTCTCTCGCCATAAGCTCTCCTCATCCTAGTCCAAATTGTGCCGAAATTACATGGTTTGGCATCTAAGCCTGGAGCGTCAGAAGCTCACCGTTGAAATGCTGCTTTGCAGCATTGAAATCTTTCTCGAGGGCCTGCGTCAGTGTTGCGCGAGTATGCTTCTCAGACTTGGACCTGCGACGGCTTTGCTGCAACAAACAGTATGGTGTAAGAACAGATATCACACTTGAGTTCAGCCCATGCAGGGGTCTGTTGCTGCAAACCTCCCTGCCATTGTTTTCCGCGTCCCAATGAGACCTGTCAGCAGCGGATCATGAATAACCGAGGTTTGGCAGCAAAATGCCTACCCCACGGCCTCAACTCCAACAAATGGTAGCCACAGCTTGGGGCAGTTCAAGCTCCAGCCTCCAGAGTGACACATCCGCGTCAAAGGCCGCGATGTCCTGCAGCGAAGCCTGCAAGCGCATGCCCTAGCTCTGAGCATCATTCCTAAATTGTTTATTTGGTTCTTGGTGACTGACTGGGCAACACGCGTGTGCCTCTTGGTCGGCTTGAAGATTGACCAGCTCCTTTTCTAGAGAGCTGCAACGAAGCAACAAGCAAAGACATGCAGAGCAGGCGCAGCTGATATAAAATGAGGTTGCACGCTCCTTTTCAATCTGAAGACAGTGCTCCAAAAGGTCCAAAGGTACAGGTAGGAGGTAAAATTATAGGCGGGAGGCGACTTCGGAAGCCAGGAATCCAGGATTTGTGTTAACTGATGTCTTGGTATGCAATGATGGTCTGCATAATGAATCTGCCACTTGGCATGCCGCTGCTGTACATGCGCCCCCTCAAGTGCAAAGTTGAAGACGAGCTTGAGGAATCACGGACCCAAAGCATCCTTAACAACGTGATTTCACCTAGCATTCTGACAGTCAAAGGCTGAAGTTCGTAGAGTGCTAACTGCTGAGTTCGGATGTAGAATACGTTCACAACCGTTGGGTCAAATATGCCTGTGGCAGCAAGCTGGTCAGCTGACCTTTGTCCCCTCCTCTAGGGCTGGGACCGCGCAGCAGAAGAAGCTGAAGCCACAGGCATTCGCAAGAACAAGTGTATGAGCAAAGTAGCACACGCATAAGCTTGAAAAGTTGGCCCGACTGTTTGGGCCTAAATCGGTGGTGAGAGCAAACATCGTTAACTGAAGAGTCACCTTTCCTGAGGGAAGCTGGTTGAGGCAGCTTGCTGCCTGGGAACCGTGAGCCCGAGGGAGGGCCGTGACAAACTCAAAACCATGGCTTCCCCAAAGGCTTCATCCAGCACACGGCGTCAGATCTCAACCGCCATGGCGAGCAGCGGGCCAGTATCTCCTCTTCTCGGATTTCAGCCGTCACACGAACTCACTTGCAGCAAGCAAGTTTAAGATGCAAGACGCGCACTATGCACCAGAACTCCAAAATTCACATCCTGACTCTTCGCCGAGCTTCTGTGCTCAGTACCATGACTTGCTCTGGCCCTTGCTGCTTCCTTTGCGACTCGAGTAACCTCGGTCCTTGTCAGAGCTAGCTGCACAGCACGAGAAGGGTGACTAGTAACAACGCATAAAACCGCACGCTTGCTGCTTTAACTACAGTGGCCTCATATCCCCAGTCATTGTTGTAGCTGCGACCGCCACTTCCGTAACTCTGGGTGCCTGAGAGAATCTGATGAAGACGCAGCTCATATCTCGCGCTTGGTAAAAACTCGGGATGGCAACTCAACATGATAAGCTGTCCTTCACAGGCTGCCAAGCGGCTTTTGCTTGTGCCCTTGCTCTTTCCCTTGCTCTTGCCTCCGTAGCCGTAATCATCGTAACCTGATCCATAGCTTGAATATGAAGACTTTCCTTTGCCTTTGCCTTGGCACTCGGCGATTTTGATATCCAACAAAGCGAGTGAGCTTCCGCCGTGTGACCGCTCTCACAAAAAGAGACAAAAGCTGTTGGAGACAAAGTGCTCTGCGTTCCGTAACTGTAGTCATCCTGGTAGTAGTCCTTGCTCTTGCTCGTCTTTCCTTTGTCCTTGCCTTTCCCCTTACCGCCCTTACCCTTATCGTCTCGGGCCTTGCCACCTTTTCCAAGGTCCGAGCCTTTCTTGCCCTTCTCAGACGACTTGCCCTTTCCCTGCAATAAGATGATGCGGCAAGATGAAAGAGCACAGAGACCGCCCCCACTCCTCCTGTCAGCTTTCCCAAATGCAGTCCTTGCTTTTCCCTTTGCCGCTGTAGCCGTAGTCGTCCTCATAGTCGTCGTAGCTTCGGCTCTTTCCCTTGCCTTTGCCTGAGGTGGTCTCAAGTCAGGTGAGTATGCAGCGCGTCGCTGCTAAGGTTCACCTTCCTTCCTGCACAGAGATGACTTTCGTGGCATGTGAACCTCGCATGAACCAAGATGCTGGAGCTCTTTCCCTTGGCCTCTCCCTTACCTTTTCCCTTGCCCTTCGATGTGGTGGTCTTTCCCTGTGACCGAGCTGAGCGCGTGGCAGGGGTGCGGCTGGCACAACATCAGTGACATCTGGACAGCCCAGCGCCTTGCCCTTGCCTTTGGCTTCTCCCTTGCCCTTTCCGCGGCCCTTTCCGCGACCCTTTCCTCGCCCTTTACCACGTCCCTTACCCTTTCCGCGACCTTTGCCCTTTCCTGAGAGAAACAGGTCTGAAAGAAGTCCCATTAATGCAATAAGCATGAAAGATGCACCTCCAGCAGGGCGATCGTCTGGTGTGTACTCCTGGAGCAAAAGACGCCTGCTCGTGTAGCAGATACAATTTGTCAGCGCTCTCCTTCACGAGGGACTCGTCCAGAGGTGGCTGGTAGCCCTGCCAGCACTGCCGCGTGGTTTGTCCCATGTGTGGCAAGATAGGACTTCAGAACTGCATATCATGCATATTCAATTGCTAGAACTAGACAATCATAAGCTTCAATGAGTGATGCGGTCACGTTGACGGTAATGCCAAGCGTGATGATCCCTGTGTGGGTCACACAACATTTGCTGTGCATTTTGGGCATAAAGCAAGATGCCTTGTCGAATGTGTCCAAGGCGTCCTTTCAGGCAAGCAGCGTGCACGGTAGCAGCTACAGCATTTGCAAAGCATCTTTGTCGCACTTCTCGATTCCTTGGACAGCTTGATCTCGATGACGGACACACTGCGTGTGTCTACGACCTTGTCCAGGCCTTCCTCGATGGGTTCGTACTCGTCCACGATGTCCTTGACCCGCCAACGGAAGCTGGGAAGCAACAGCAGCCTGCTCTTAGAAGCCACCCATCCCCCTTTGCTTGCCAGTAACTCCCTCCCTCCAGGCTGTAGTCACTTCGCCCAACCCTTGCGAGAAACAACCTGCTGCTTGGGCTAAAACCCTGCACTCTTGCATTGCAGGCCGCGGTGGTGCCGATGTTTGTGATCTGATGCAGACCTCTGATTGGGCAGTGCAATCCCATGCCTAGCCGGCTAGCCAACACCTTGCCGAAAGTACTGTAAGAGATAATGAAGACCTTTCCAGCCTTCAATGGCAAATCTGGAGAGCATCAGCAGAACGAGTTTGACTCTTGCCCAGGCCACAAACAAAAGAATCAGACCGAATAGCCTTATCTGCTTGCAAAACCATTCTTGCTGAGCAGTCGACCCTTAAATCGGCGCTTGATGACTTCAGCAGTAGTCACAGCCTTTGCATGGAGCATAGCGTGATATAGCGTGCGAGTTGCAAGCATTGAGTATGCACAACGACATTGAAGCCTTAGTCAGCGCGTTGCCGGTCGCCTGAATGATGACCTCATTTTGCAAGGCACCAAGTTTGCGCAAAACGCCCAGGGGTTCTGAAAGACCCTGCGAGGAATAAAGAAAACCTTACCCCCCAAATCCTCATCCTTGGGTAAGCCCCGGATGAGCTCGAAGTGGAGGAGAGCTGAAGCAAGACAGGCAACGAAGGACTTGCCCAGGTCATTGAAGACCGTTGCAGCGCGGGAGACGTAAGCCTGAGCCATGCATTGATCACAGCAGCGATGTGCAAATCGCCCAAAAAACGCTTGCCCGCCCGGTAACTGAGACACTGCCAGCAGCAGTCACACGGATCTCCTCATCACTCTTGACAATCTCTTCCTGAACCGGTCATTTCAAATTTGCCGTGGCCATCCTGTCTATGCGCCCAGAAGCAGAATATCGTGGAATGCTGCAATACTCTGTCTCTCCTAATGGTCTGTCTTGTTACTTGTCCCAGCTCTCTCTATCCCTCTGCGACAGCCAGCACCATCAAATCGCAGAGCCTTGGGCTTTGGCACTCTGCGGTACTTATCCATAGCCGAGGGCTGATTTTCGGCAGCGTGCGAAGCTCGAGAAGGATGCTGGGGATGAGCTGGCTCAATGCTGCGGTGAAGTCAGCCATCGTGCAAAGAATTGGTGCGTAAGAATCATGTATTCCAAGTCCTGTGCCCTGGCATGCTTCCCAGATTAGGGCTTCATATGGACCTACTTACATGCGCATAAGTCTCTTCAAAGCAGCTTTGATGCTCCTCCTCGCCAGCCTTCGTCTCACTCTCCATTGCCTGCACTCTTAGATGTGGCAAAACAGGATTCGAAGAGTTAGCCCTCAGAAACATAGCACCCTTGGCACCTCAACCTGTTGCAATGCCAGGGCGGACTCAACCTGGAAACAGCAGGGGGTGTTTGGCGCATCGCACCAGACAAGCCATCTGATCTTGTGGGATCCTGCAGCGCTAATCGCGGCACACTTCGCCATGGATCCCGAGTGTCGGGACTAAGCAATCCTGCTGCCACGGAAACGACGAACTTGCAATGAGCCCCGTACCTCGTCTGCCCTCCGGTGTTCGGTGAGGCGGCGTTCGCAGTATCCCCGGCCTTGAGTAACATGATCTGCCGGGGCACTTCTGATCTGTTGAACAGATCTTGTTTCAACCCCTGCAAGCAACGTCGCCAACAAACGTCAACATGGCATACTCGCTTGGCATCTTGGAACTTGACAGTCTGTCAGGTCGACGTTGTTTTTCTCCTTGTGTGAAATTGAGGGCATGAGGACGTTCGCTTCGGGCAGTGCCTGTGCCGAGTAGGGGTGAACAGCTTCCTTACCAAGCGGTCCTGGAAGCGCAAGCGCTGTTCCTCTAGTTGGTTTCGGAGATCCTCATTGCTCCGGACCTGGCACGACCACGAGCTTGTACGCATGCTAAGCATGATAAGCAGAGCCGAGTCCCTGACTGCCGCAGCCAGGGCGTCGTCAGACTCACGCATTTGTCGTTGAAGTTCGGCAGCTACCTGTGCCACACAAGGTGATGCTCCAGTCGTAGTGGCATCAGGCCAATCGAATCCTTCTGGTTATTCAAGTGTGTCCCCATGGCAAGTGCTCATATCATCCCAGACTCATATACAGGGCCTTCGGAAGGGATTCAGGGATTCAACTCCGCACCCGACCAACTGCATGTGACATGCCCTGAATCTAGCTGCTTCGGTGCGTAGACCGACTGCGCACAAAGACCAAGTGGATTGCTACATACTCCTGTCCTAGCCCACCCTGTGGTTCAACATCCCGTCCGCCTGAAGCCAAAAAACTCAAACCATCTGACGCATATCCGTTGCCTGATCCAGACTTTGGGTCTCGCTGACCTGCACAAATCGTGGTAGAACCCTCATTTGGCTGCGCGGGGCACGGACAGTGGAAAGAGAAGTCGATCCAACCAAGCTCCGGATGCATAGCAAGACTGCAAAGTTATCTGCCGCGCGCCTTTGAGGCGAGAGCTGTCTCCGAGACTGCAGTTGATCGATGGAGCTGGTCCAAGTTGACCTACATGAACCCTTGACTCTATGGTACTAGCTTGGCCAACTCTCAGGATACTTTGCTGTCACGAAGGCCTGCTTTGCATCCAGCTGCTTTTCCTGCTCGCTGCAGTGCGACTCCAGCCTCGTTCGTTCCTCCAAGCTGGAGTCTCTCCATTGCAGAGAAGTCTTTTCAAATGTTGCAATGTCACTGCGGTCCTCAATCCAAGCCTGTCTCTCCTCCAGCTGGCGCTTCTCATGGGCCTGATGGTCTCAGCGGTGAAAGCCCTTGAGATATCTTGAGATGCTTGTGAAATCTTGTGAACTTTTTGTGTCCAGCCTGCAGGCGCGACTCAAGCTGCGAGCACTCCCTGCAAGGTCGGATGAAGTTGGATGTCCAGCTCTTTATCCCTTTCCGGCTGTGCCTGCTTTGCTTTATTTGCCAAACGACACTACACCCAGCCGCTGGAGAAAATTAGATCGTAGCTCTCATATCTTCGCTCTCCTGCTGAGCCGGGCTTGTAAGTCCTCCTTGTCAGTCTGCATTTCCCTGCACCGACAGAGACAGTCCGTGCTACAAGCTGCTACAAGATACAAGCCGCGAGAGAAGCAAAGAAGCACAGCGCGCGGCCCGTACTTGCGGCCCCAGTCAAGGTTGTCCTGGACGGACACATCATGGCTACCCACTAAAACTTTGTCAAGCTGCAGCCTGGCTTGCCACACTGTGGCTTGCAGTACTTTTTAGAGTTCGCAAAGCCGCTATCATCCACGATCCCCTCAACTAAATGCATTGCTTACTCAGTTTACTCGATTCTCTTGCAGGAAGGCCGCAACACAAAGGCTTCGACTGGATCCGGTACGACACGACCCCAACTGCGGATTCAGAACGAACAACATGGGCACGCTGAAGCAAAACGCATTCTCCCCTCCTGATGTCTCTGCTCGCGCTCGCTGGTAAGCTTGCTGCGAAGCGCACCTGCATGCGGCGTCGCAGGCCATGGACTCACTAGGATCTGCGGGACCGTGTCCACTCTTTCCTCCTGCTCTGACGCTCGTGCTTGATGCCCGGCAATGGCAAGGACCGCACACACTTTTCACGGCGCTACACTGACTTCAGCAGCTCTGGAACAGGATGGCCGCAGTAAGACGACTGGTCATCACCAGCCTTCCTTAACATGGCTTGTCACACGCATACCTTGTGTCTACCATACAGGTTCAAACCACTTGTTGCGGACGATTGCGGACATCTAGTGCCAGGACAGCGGCGGACTTCTTCCGCTTTGCCAGCGTCTCCTGGATTGCTTCCGCGATGTCTTTGTCCCCGTGAGCAATCTTATTGATGCGGCTGATGTCGTTTGGGTTGATCCTGGGGCGCGGCGGTTGAATTTTAAAACTCATTGATTGCTGGGTGGCATCACCCTCTTCTCCAAGCTGGAGCTGAAACAAAATCAAGGACTTTTTGGCAAAAACGGTTTTCCTTGAACACCGATCTTGTCCTTTCCTCAGGAGCAGGGTGGCTTACCAGCAAGGGCTTCCAAGCTATGCGCTGCAAAATGATAGGATCAACTACAGCTGATGCACCGAAACGGCGTTTTAACGCATCCCTTGCTATGAAAAGGTATGGAGTCGTTGCAAGCCAGTTGATATTAGCAGAAACAACCGCATCCGAATAGATGCAGATGGAGAGAGGCGAATGCCTCCTCCGCCGCATGATAAAGCTCGGAAGCGACTCCCGAACTTGACAACGGTTGACTGGATTGTACACTGGAAAGTCGTAGGCCGAGGCACAGCACAGGCATCGGAAGGGGCAAGCTCAGCAAATCCTTTGTGCTGAGCAGCGGAACCTGCAAGGCTATCTTCAGGCTATGACAATGTTTGGACAACAACATGCAAGCATGCAACCAAACTTCTGCGAGGCATTGTGAAGGTCAAGAGTTTCCTGCTTCTTTATATGCATTAGCTTGACCTGAACATATTTTCATCATGAAACCTGTGCCCGCACTGGATCCTCTCACGCTGCTACATGGAAACAGGCTTTCCAGTCTGGCTGTTTAGATTGCAGCTTTGCGTCCATGGCAAAGATGCAATCGCGATATCCTGCAGGCTTGCACGTCCCAAAAAGGTAATCATCTACAATTAGGGCCTCGGTGAAATGGCATGGAAATGCATGGAAGCTGGAATTCGAAGCAGGCTGTCACACATTTGTGACACAAGACACCTAGATTCGCCTCCTGGTTGCTGAAGCTATTGGCCGCAGCTTAAGCATTGCCCTGAAGTTTCTGAAGTACATGGTTGTGTCAACTAAGACGCTCCATACACCCTTGACTCATGTCACTCTAGATCTAAAGGATCAAACCATCAGCGGTTGTTTTGTAGGGTGGAAGAGCTGCCGTGACAGTGCAATTTGACAGCAAAGGTTATAAAGATATTACGGCTGGCATCTGTGCTACCGAACTGCCCCCACCCCGGGACGTGTTGAGCGCGCGGGTAATTGAGAAACTCCTCTACAATCACAGGAATGGTTAACACCTGGTCTATCGGTCTTTATCTAGCAGAGCTGGCTTTGTTTCTGCTGTATTTGACATATCTCTCTGCTCCTTAGGTGAATTGAGACATTTTTGGTCAGGGCCTAGAAGGTTCCACGGGTTCTTTGTCTTCCTGTTTTTCCGTCCACTCTCGCATTTTCGCCCGCCAGTTCAAAAAAGAATCGGAAACATAAGATGCCGTGGCTTCCGCAACAACCTGCGTAGTCGGGCCTGAGACAATTGCCCAAAACCTTCCAAAACGGTCGGAGTTGGGAAAACCATGGCAAACATTGAAGACATGTGAAGACTGTGCGGAGAGGCCCAGCTGCACAATCAAATTCTCGACAATTTCGCTTGCGATGAGAGCTTACGTGACAGTTGATAAGGGGGCAAATTAGCCTCACTCTTCTGTCCCAAATCATTTACGCAAATAATGAGAGAGGTGGTGGAAGAAGGCTCCACAATTTGTTGACCCGTCCTGCCCCCCCATGCCCCCGCTCCCGCCCCACATCAACTTGTGGCAGCTCACTGCAGGGATTTTGGCAACGGTTCTCGATTCTCATGTGAGTCACATATACGTGCTGAAACTTTCTTGGACAACTCTGGATCCGCGAATTCAATGTGACACAGCGGAGAGGGTGAAATGATGCGAAATGGATTCAAGCATACCAGAATTGCAAAGCTCCTGCTTCAATTGCACGATCCAAGGCTGTCTCGCCACCGTTATCTCTGTGTCCTCCTGGCCAACTGCATGGCAAGAAGCACCGAAGCGTACAAGAATGAGAACTGATGACCCTGAGCGATGCCTTGCGTGAAATCCTTTCGAGAAAGGATCTCCACACAAACCTTAGCACTGCACAGTAGACAATGTCACTGCTGTATATGAGTCCGTAAGACGAAGCCACGTCCTTCCAGCTGACAGCAGCTAGCATCTGGGCTGTGCAGCATATCTTCGCCGCGCGACATCCGGCAGGCTGGAGAAAACGGCCCAATGCAGCACGCTCCAGTTCCTGCTCTGTAATACGATTCATCCGCGTAGCCATCAAGCTGTGTTGACGACGTTTGATGACGATGATGATGATGATGATGACGACGACTGTGAATCAGCCATGTAGGCAGGCACAAACTTCACTTGAGACTTCCAGCATTCCTCACCGCTCTTCCGCTCAAGCCTGCGGTGGGCGGGATGAGGTCTGTGCTGAGCCAAAAAAAAGTGACAGGATTCCCTTGGGACCACTGGGCCAGGCGGCCACACACGTTCGGGTTCTAAACACTTTCAGAATGGGGTCCTCCTGTCGGAACAGAATTCCTTCAGGTCAAACGGGCTTCGTATAGGACAGGACCGGGCCTAATTAAAGGGTGGTTTCACATTGGTAACGGAGCCCGGCCTATTGCTATCCAAGGGCTTGCGACAGCAGAAACCATGGTTAAGATCTAGATAAGTCCTTCCACTGCCATGGTTGGAAATGGCGAAGGACCACGGAGCAGGGCAGTGGCATGAGAAGTAATTATGGGGCACTTGCCTGGCAGCAAGTGCCCGAGTTTACTCCTGGAGCAACGGCCTCGTTTTCTCAAGCAGTCGTGGCCACCAGAACATACCCAACACCTCGCACCAACAGCAGCGCTATTAGTGGAGGGGTCCGTTCAGGAGATCAGTCGCATTGCACCTGAGAAATTGAAGAGCGAGCATGGCGTTAAGCTCCATCGTTGGGCGGGTCATCAGGAAGGACCCAAACGGTGCAAAGACAGCCAGACGAGTCCAACGACTCGTATGTGGTCAGTCATGACACGTTCTTTGAGGACTCGATCGCTCGAGAGGTCAGGATGTTGGAGATTCGTGCCTGCGTGCTCCTTCGGCACTCTCAACTAGCTCAAGATGACAGAAAGCAGTTGGTAGTGGAAGCCCCGCAAACCGTCAAAACAATCAAGTTGTTGGGTTCCAACTTGTTCGGTGACCTACAAGCACGTGGCAGCAGCTCAGGCCAAGGCAAAGCAACAAACCGCACACAAGTGCAAGATGTGCACATGGCGAAGGGCAAAAATGAGGACCAGGACGCATACTATGCGGCCGGCGGAGCAGAGGAGCCCTCCGACGAGGACATTCTCTGCTACTTCCTTGAACAGAACGACATCGACGCTTTGTATGTCTCTGAGTTCAAGCACGGTATTGTGGAGGCGGTTCAGGACAGTTCCTTAGCCCCCGCGCACCCCTCTTACCAAGAAGCGAGGTTGAGGCTGAGAGACAAAGCCGCAAAGGCAAAGGAGCTGGAAACTCTAGGGAAGGTTAGCAGAAAAGATTGCAAATAGCTTGTGCAAATTGGCGGGGCTCCGGGACATTGAACAAGAAGATGCCCCAACAATCCAGCTCGTGAGGAACTTGCCCACACCAAGAAGAAGATCACCCACCTCACCTTACAGGTCGACGAGCAGGTCGACACGGAGATGCTCTTGGACTACGGCGACTCCGTACCTTACAACTTTGGTGAAGATCTTGAGGACAGAATGGAAGACATGCGGGTCGTAGAGAAAGCAAGAATTGAGCTCATAATTCCGAACATGTTTGTCTGATGATGACGCCTAAGATGGCGTCTAAACCAAGCATAGGAACTTTTTGTTACAAGCCGGCTGTGACTGTTTAACAGGAAGTTTCGAGATGATGAGCACCGGAGACTGCCAGTTGTTCTAGAGTCGTATGGAGCCAGAAGTCTCAGAAGAGCAGTTCTGAAACCAAGTTCAACAGCTCTGGATCCGGAAGCTTACCACTAATGGTGCAGAAGGGGTCCTCGATACTGAGGTTGGTCGTATGGTTATTGGGGAAAAGCCGGGTTCAAAGCTTTCTGCGGTCTCCCTCAGGAGTGCCGCCGTAGCATTCGTAACGCCAATTCAGGTGTGACTTTCCGCTTGGGAAACAGTGGAATCCTGACTGCAAAACAGGCTCTTCTTCTTCCTGGGCAAGTTGACAAAAGTGGATCAGAGTTGAAGTAATTCGCCGGGATACCCCCCTATCATCTAACCGCCTGCTGCATGATTTGGACGCTGTTTTGCAGGGAGATTCTAAAACTAAGGGGTGATCCGGGGGTAAAGTTACGTACTGATGCAAAGGGCCTCCCGATTGTTGACATGTCCACTTTGCTGCTTGTTCCCACGGCAACAGCGCTGATCACAGACTCACCACATGGCAGTCTGCTGCTGCCAGAGCCAACGCAACCAGCAGTAGATCCAACGATTTCCCAGCCTTCACTTCCAGTATCACGCAGTCAAGCTTCGACACGGCGCCGAAGATGACCGCAGCCAAGAAGAAAAGGGAGGCGTTCAAAGCTCAGCTCCTCAAAGTGGATCTCGAGCCGTCTCTCTCAGGAAAGCTCTCGGAGGAGATGTTGCGCATCTCGACTTACCTCAATGTGACCAACGCGAGAAAATCTTCCCGTAAGGGAAGCAGAAGCTGAAACCCTTTGCCGAGTCCTTCGACGCGGGCCTGAGCCATGCCCTCCTGATGTCCGGGAACTCACGTCTGCATGGGGAAGGTGGTTCCAGAACTACATCTACATCCATCCCAAGGAACATATGGCCAAAGCCATGAACCATCCGGAGGATTGGAAGGTGTGTCCGGCGCCATTCTCACCGGGAAAGATATCAGGGCCAGCAACTAACAGAGAGGGAGCGACAAGCACGAGTTCCCGGACACAGGTGGACATCGACCCAGAGACGACTCGCACTCGTCGAGCCCTTCTTCAGCTGGAGTGCTCGCATCTGGCAGAAAATGAATCAGACTGGGGCTTTACTTCAGGCCTCAGTCCGTGAGCCAGACTCCAGCGCGACCCCACACCGTCTTCCCAATCTTGATCTTCTGGAAATATCCATCGAGTCAACAGGACGTCAGACGAGCCCAGCACAAATGCGTGGAGGCCGCGCTTTACACCCATGTGGCCCCAAACTAGGGAGAGAGCTTGGGATGGGTATAGCCGTCTCTGGAGGCTGATCTCGACGCGCGAGCCTCAACGTTTTTGGATTGATGCACGCCAACCCAGGATTTATGTCCTTCAACACCATGGCCGGAAAGATTGTTCCATGAGCTGTTTCTTCACCAAACAGCGCACGGAAGACAGTTTCACTTGGCGGGAGCCCGTGATTTGTTGGAACAGAAGTTTCCCTGGTTCGACGAGGCGCAATATGGTACACTCCAGATGGTCCATGATCCGGTGGAGCTGACGGAGATCAAAATTCCTCCTGGAAATATATCCTTACTTATGTGGTCGCGAACGGTTTTTTCTGCACGCCAGGAAATGCTTGAGATTGGACGGTCACTCCATCCTTACAGTGAAACTTTCCTAGACCACCTTATGAGGCATTGCATTGCACATACGGTGGCTCCATAGGAACTGACCACACGCACAGGCTCGTCCATCGCGCGACAAGCGAGATCAGCGCCCCTCTTTCACGCTTTCCATCCTGGCTTTAGCCGCTTGATCGTTTGCAAATAGGCATCTGCAGAATGGGCCAGGCTTGTCTACACATCAGACAATTTAAGACGCGCAACAGTGGCTATAGCATCTTGCAAGTCGATGCGAGCAGAGGGTGTTGAGCTCCAACGACCACGGAGAAGAGTTCTTTCCATACTTTGAAGAGGAAGTCCCACGTGGCTCCGCCTCTACGCAAGGAGTACACATTAAGCCTTTCTTCGCCCACATCAAACGTTTCAAGAAACACCTGCGAAAATGATCGGCTCGTTTCACAAGCAAGACTTCCGACGAAGGTCTATTAGCACAGGCCCTCCGCAGCCACGACACTGCCACCTGGCTATTAACCACCGCCATTACGTCCTGCCCTGCACGCTTCCCAGCCTTGGTCAAGCCTAAGCGCAAAAAACAGCTTTATCCTGAAAAAACGTCACTTCGCCGACTGTAAGGTTGCACAACTCACCGCTCACCGCTACGAAGCATAGCATCAAATGAGATCGGAAGGGCAGCCACTATTGAAGACAACGAAAGGGCTGCAGCAACACCGGTCGTTCCCTGAACAACTAATGGACTGAGAGGCAAAACGGCAAAACGCGCACCGGCGGCTCAACTTTTTGCCAAACCCTTCTCCAGTTTCCAACTTTATTTTGCCTTACTATAGCAAGCAAATGGGAGGGTCGCCGGGCCGGGGCATCCCTGCAATCCAATTCCTGGCTTACCCACTCCAAGAATGTTGAATCATCCAAATAAAGAGCTCCTGGAAAGCTTGGAGCGACACCTGCGGAAGTGGGGCATCGCGCCTGATTTCAGCTTGAAGCGACAATTGTGCTGCCGATGTCAATGTAGCTAGCCTACGATGAGCATGTTGCAGAATTCCTACGGCCGACCGGCCGACAACCACCCCATGGGCAAAACCGTGGCAGCGAGGAGGATCTCGGAACAATCGGAAGAATCTTGAAAGATGTCACAGCACCTCAGTGGCTTTTCACAGGAAAACAGCGGATGCCACAGGCCGGGCAACCGAAGAAGGTAAAGGGCGGCAGTGAGATCACCGCCGCTGATTCGTAGGACTTGCCCTCTTGGCAACACAAGGTTCACCCACTTGCTCGGCCCAGAGGGCGCTGATGTCCCCCGCAATTGGACGCTGAATGAAATTGGAAGGTCGCAAATCCATGAGCGAAACACTGGTTGACCAGTAGCAGAAAATTTTTCTGACGTGACCACCGAACGCCCCGTTAAACAGTGGCCTTCCTCCCACACGGTATACCTGATGCCTTCGCGGGGGCCGTGCCAGGCCTCGCCGCACCAACTCTTTCCCAATGTTTGGCTTTAGGCAAGGCCATGTCATGCAACACGTTTCAACAATAAACCCTGGGCATCAAGCCACGGGATGAAGCCTGGTGAACAGTGCCAGCTGGAGGGGTGGGGGGGCCTGTGGGCAGGTAGATGGCCCATTTCTTGGGTTTCAGACTCTTGGATTCGTCCAGCGTCCGTTTGACGCTTGTACCTTCTGCCTTGTCTCACCTGGGCCGAATGGACAGCCTGTTGCACATGGGGTGGTGGGGATTCACGTAGACGATGGCATAGGTGGGGCAGACGAAAGGTTTTTTGAGGCTGTTCACAAGTAAGGAACAGCTTCAGCTGTGGGTCATATGATGAAGGTGAACTCACGTTTGCTGGGACAAGGTTTCGACAGTGGGATGACGGCAGTATAGAGTATCATCAGCAAGGGTAAATAAAGGGAATTAAGCCAGTTCATGTTCCAAATGAGCGCCGGTTGAACCCCACTGCTACTTTGAATGCAACAGAAGCCAAAGAGCTGCGACAGCTGAATGGTAGTCTGCGATATGCAGCGTTACACACACGACCGGATATTACAGCAACAGTAGGCTATCTTCAGATTTGCATCACGAAGGACGAGGTTCAGCACCTTGTGGCAGCCAAAAGCACAGCCGGTCTCGTTAGTGGCTGAGCCGTTTGAAGAAGCTCACGTCACTTTCTGCATCCTTTGCCACTTCAAAGGATCACAACTCGAGGGCACCCTAGTCATGGTGACAGATTTGAGAATGTTGGCAAATCGGCAAGTAGTCATTTCCGGGTTGCCTGGTCCAGCAAGAAAATTGCACGGGTAGTCCGGGGTACACTTAGCATGTCCTGGATCAGACTTGTCTGGGAGTGGCTCAAAAATCCGGCTGTTAATCTGGCATCTCCTGAAGAAGTGCTGGCGCAAGCTTCCAAGGTCTCCTTGGTAACAGATTGTAAGAATGTATGTGATGTTTTAACGGCAGCACCGGCATGCGCTGAACTGAGAACACAGCTAGTCCGCCTTCTTTGAGAAAGTGCCTTCTTTGAGAAAAGCTGCAGGAAAATTGTCAGATGAGGTGGGTGCACAGTCGAACTATGCTGGGGGATTGCCTCCACAAGGTTTTGGCTAGTTCGAACCTTAGGCGTAGCCTTCAAGAGGTAGTTACGCCTTGTTTGGTGAGCGTAGTGTTCTTGAGCAACGCAAGGGGCATAGACAATCGATACAGTGGCTGAAGTCCACCGAGCCGCGCAATTTTTGTGCCAAGCCTCTCGAAAGAACAGCTTATGTACACTAAATCCAGTGTGAATCAGCCATGTATGGTGGCACAAGCTTTGCCGGAGACTTCCAGCTCTTCCCCTAAAGCATGCGGTTGTTGGGATGAGGTCTGAACTGAGCCAAAAAAAAGTGACACGATTCCCTTGGGACTAACGGGCCAGGCGGCCACACAGGTCCTCTTGTCGGAACAGTGTTCCTTCAGGTCAAAGGGGTTTCAAATAGGACAGGACCGGGCCTACGTAGGGGTGGTTTCACTGACGATGATACGATGAAGCAATGAACTTGGCAACAGCCGTCACTTCGAGTGCACATGCACGAATTTGAGCACAAAACATTGCAAGCTGCAGGCGGTTGAGACGTCCTGCGTCTATCGATCACGTTGATGTGTTCGAATTCTGGTGATGCTGCGATGCTTAGGCACGCCGCGCCCAGTCTCATGGCTGCTGCCATGTGCAAACAGCCTCAGCCAGATTCAGAATTCAAGGAGCCAGACTTCGGCTTGAATTTCTGCCGAGGTGCTCTGCTGCGAGGCCTTGATCAAATCTGTCAACTTTGCATCTGTACAGCCAGAACTTACCCATCCCTCAAGCAATACCAACCGAGCGTCTGCATCCAAGTAATTGAGATATCTCCCTCTGTCAGGGAGCTGCAGCAGAGCCAAGCACGTCCCTCCTCCACGAAAGGCCAACCCTTGCACTCAGGTTCACGATCGCTGGGCAAAGCGTCTGTCCTCTCCCTGCTTTAGCCTGGCATGATATCAATGGCCATAGTCTTACAGGTTTTGGAGCCAAGACAGGGTGAACTCAAGCTGCCTCGTCGTAGAGTGCTCTGTCTGGCGCGTCTTGCTTCAGCAACGTGAGATCCAGCACCACTGCTCCCTGAGGGGCCACGTCAAAAGCTTCAAGAGCCAGCATCTGAGAACAGCTTCAGGCCTCAGGGAGCAGCCCAGCCAAGCTGCGGAAGTCTTGATTGACCTTCTGCTGCAAAGATGCGTCGAATTCGTTTCCATTTACATATCCCAGGTCTGCCTGCTACCCGTCCTGAGTCTCACTCTGCCCTGGGCATTTCTAGGAAGTCTTTACGAACGTTGCTGAGTGAAGCCCCGTAAAACCCTTAAGCCGAAAAACCCTAATTTTGAAGCCGTAAGGCCGTAAGACCTCGCAAACCTTTGTTTGCACCTGAAACCCCAAGCTCTAGAGCCCCTAAACGCTTGAAAACGTAAACCTCGAAAGCCTGCAAACCCTTCAAACACCAAACCATAATTAGTTGAAACTCAAACCTTCTCAAACCCTTATGCATCCCGAAACCTTAACACCCTTTAATAGTAAAAGCCCTTGGCCTCCTCCAGGTCCTCGTTTTGCAGCAATAGACGTTGGGTGCATCTCGGTCGGTTCAATGCCGCTTCCACCAGCCCCTGAACGACACACTCGCCCAGCTGCCCAACATTGCCCAACAAGATCATGTAATGTCCAGCTCGGCACCTTCAGCCTCATCACTGTCCAACATCGATCTGCACGCGGGAGGGTAAGCCTCGGAGGGCTCAAACATGGATGCAAATCGAACTGCCTCTTCTTCTTCTTCTTCAGGCTTTGCGCTCTCCGCTAGGCATAAAGCAAGGGAAGCACTTTCTACATCCCGCGGTCAACCGACGAGAGCCTGAATACAGACCGTACTGGCTGCTAGCATAAAGCAGACAGCCGACTTATGGCAAGGCGCTGGTACTTCTTTGAAGCTTCGACTTTGACAACCAATGATTTCTACGTAAGATGCGCGGATTACATTCACTTCCCACCGAAACACCGAATCCAGTAGACTGCCTGCCTGAAGCCAAGATAATTGAACGAGCCAACTTTCTCTTTCCATGAGCTGGAAACAAACATCTTGGAACCGAACATGATCCGGCCAGCCGATAAGAATAGACGGAGATTTGTGGTCCCAGCGTTGGAATCTGGGTTAGCTCTTGGCGTCCAAGTCACAGGACCTCGCCCGAGATCGACCGCACACGCACCTCTATGGTGCGAGCCGGGGACTGGCCAACCTGAGACTTTCACTAACTCCGGACCGAGACATGACAATTCATGCATTCTCTGCTACCTGCAGCTTTTGTATCATGTAATGGCCTCAGCAGGGGCAGGTTCTTCCCTGCGCTGCTTCTTTGGCGGAGCATCTTCGCTGGCAGAGCCAAGGTCTTCTCGGCCCATTGCAGTGTCTGGACGCTCAATATGACCCAACCATGTTTCAGTGGTGTTACTGCAATTCCTGGAACTGCAGCCATCCACTCACTCATGAGTAGCTTTCTAAGCTTTAAGCTTTCAACTATTGAATGCTGTAAAGTGATAATCAAGATTTAGTTTGGGTGTTGCTTCTTGGCCAGACTGTATGGGAAACAGCTTCGGAAGTAGCTTACCGTCATCAAATGGTGTCGTGGCCGCCACCCGTCTGCACCCCTCACACGCTCCTGGCAAATGCCCCCGGCAAATGCTCCCATTTCCCACTTCAGTGTTGGACCCCACCTGAGCACTGAAGAACTGAAAAAGAAATACATGACAGAGTTGATGGCCTACCCCTTTGCATTCCCAGCCCTCAATGGGCCTATTCTATGTTCTATCTCGACTTTCTGCTCCCGCTTCTTCTGGAAGGGCTGCAGCAACCTCAGACAAGGAAAGGACAGTTAGCAACAGCCATCAGCTGGATGGCGACACCCTCCCACATCCCACTGACTAAGGCACGTGCTGTGTCGGTATATCCTCGGTCGCAGTAGCGCGAACTGTTGACAAAAAACTAGGAATTGAAGCTTGCTTGTGCTGGTCGCACTGCCATTGCTCACAACTGTATCAATTTCAAACTCAGTGGGGGCGAGACATGGCGCATGTACTCTCATCTTAACTTATTCCGGCACCGCATGGTTGTCGCGCCTTCTGCCATACTTGCCACCAAGCGCTGACTTCGCGGAACAGCCTCACGCACTCACACCACAAACACTCGATTTGGGATGCTCTCAGTGTGCAATGGGGACGTGCGCAGAAGTTGTCAAACGTTGTTGGGGCTCGTCTGTCTCGATATGTTTCGACTCAACAGGACTCCATTTACTCGAGTTGACTATGAGCTAACCAAGCATACTTCTGAATACTTCTCGCGTGCTGTGATGAGGGGTCATGCTCATTATTGCAGTTTGGCATCAAAACAAGAGACACAAACTCTCAAAATCTATGAAATGTTGGAGCTTCACCAACAACATGTAACCACAAGCAACTCTCCAAACGACACAAGGTGCTGCCAAAGCAACTCCGCAACGGCCTGCTGTCTGTCCTGGCCAGTTGGAGAATTCAAGCTCAAAGTGAGGTCTCTTCGAGACAGCTCCCCCCAATTCTGACTCACTACCTCAACACACTACAGACTCTGGCTTCCATGATCTGTGCTACCCGCTTCCTGCAGATCTTGGCCAAGCTGGCCAACCCCAGTTCGCAGGTTCACGGAACCGTACTCCAGCTTCCTTGGCAGACCACTCTGATCTGGGCTTGCAAATGCTCCATGTCCCTCGCCAAGGCATGCGCTGCAGCTTGTCACTTAGGCGCCGCTGAACCTCTGGCTGCCACTGCACTTGCGTGCTCTTTACGGTTCCGCACAGACATCGTGGAGCGATTGGTTTGCTCCGGCATGCTGAGAAACGTCCAATGCTCAGGAAACACATGTTAGGCTCACCTGCCATTGGCGCTCAGCCCCCGCATCCCGCACGGACACCACCTGTCCCAAGGCTGAAATGAGATGGCCAAAGCTCCCACGATTCCCACAGCCTGTTGCTGTAGGCTGTGTCGCGATGCCTCTCGCTGACCCTCGTGCCTCCATAGCTTCTATTGCCGTACAATGCAGTATCAGTATATGCGCTCACTACTCAGATCACGCACTGAAAGCCTTCTGCAAGCTGCCCCCAACCTCTCCTGGCAAGTCAGCGTGGAGGGAACCCTGAGAGATGCCGCTGGGCAAGGAGAGCCTCATCTGCAACTCGCTGCTGCATCATCTGCGCAATCTCCGCAGATTGTGAGCCTTGGTTTCTGCAGAGCATTCGCGGCATCAATTGCAGTGATTTGCAGTGCCTGAGTTTCCCTACGTGTCCTTACAGCACTTTGGTCAGCTGTGCACACGACGGATCTGTTCCAGCAGGCGCTTGTTCGCAGCCTGCAAGGTTGACACCAGCTGCCTGCATCTGATGCAGTGTGTCTCAAACGGAGACTCCGCCTTCACCCCGCCCATAGACTCAACTAGCTTCTCATTGGATTCTGCCTGTTGAACCTGCGTGGGCGCAGGTGATGATGGTGAGTAGCAGCTGCTGTCTCAAACTGACGGTCTTTTGTCTGCGGAGTCGAAAAGCGCGCCACAGGGAAGGCCCGGTACAAACTGTAAGGCTGTGCCTGGCCACACAACTCGTTCTTTTTTGACGGTTGTCAAATTGGCAAGGCAGCGCTCGAAGGCCCGGCGCCACTCACAAGGCTAGGATGGTCTGTTGTGAGTTAAAGATGGGATCTGCCATTGGGCTGCCGCATCGTCATAAAGCAACTTTAAACTGAACAGGTCACAGCAAGCTATGACGCTGCATGCTTGCAAGGAGTCAAATGCTCCTTTGAATTCTTTCAACAGCATCTCATCGTCTCATCTTAAAAGCATCATTGTATCACCTGATGCAAGCATCCTAAGACAAAAGTTCATTCACCTGGATGTCGTTCAGGAGTCGAAGGGCCAGTTCCTGCCTGAGGTGGTCAAACTTTCGCAAGCTTCTAAAGCCCTTCGTGTCAACCCCCTATGCAACATTCTTTTTGAACACTCGGCCTGCCACGCTTCTGTTCTTCCAGTTTCCGGTGCTCGACGCATGAAGTTTGGCGGCTCCAAGCCTAACGCCTCTATGGCAAGGTACTGTCGACGCCGAGCCTCCCGAGTCTCCTCATCCGCAAATGCCTCGTGCATCTCTTGGGTGAAGCGGATTCGAAAGGAAGTGTCCTGTGGCTGAATGGTCGAGCTCAAGCATCAAGTGTGAATGCAGTCACCCTGGTAAATGTGGCAGACATCCAATCACGCGACTTGCAAGTTAAAATATGCCTTCCATTCTATGCCGGATCGTGCAAGCTGGTGTTAGCCATTGTGCAGCACAAACCTGTCCTGATGACTGGCGGTTCCCATGGTGGAGGTCGGAACAGCCGTGGCTTCACTGCTCAACTTTGAGACAAAAGCAGCTGCGAAGGACAAGTGCTGAATTTCAAGTCAAGCTGCAGCATGCCACTCTGGATCCCAACTCGCCACAGCTGACTGGCGCACCATCTCACGGTTGAGACTGTCGCACTGCCGCTGCGTCTCCTTCAGAGACTGCGACAGCACCTGGCATCGCTCAAAAGTCACATCATCCATCATACCAGCAATGCCACAAATGCGTCATACTGTGGTCCTGGAAGCTTACAAACCTGTGCCAGGCACTGCGTGGTTGCTCCGCATGGACAACGGGCGAAGCGTCCCACCCTGTGAGGATGCGTGCAAGCGAGCACAGCTTAGGTCTTTAGTGCCACAGCCGCGTAGATTCTCTCCGTGTCTCTTTCCTCGTGCAGCCCCATTCCGCCTGCCTGGGAAACGTCTGTCATGTCAATGGCGGAAGCCTCAAGGCTGTCTTTTGCAAAAAAAACGTGCGAGGTTTGGGTTTGCAACAGCCTGTACACCAGCAGCAGAGTCAAAGCAAACTTTGCCCTGAACCGCGTCCCTTGCTCAACTCTTCTTCATCTACATAACACGTCTGAAGCGCCTCGGCTTCCAGGTCTCGAACCACCTCTTTGGCGCGGCTGATTGCAGCGAGCTCTCCTGTCGGGCTGCATGAGACACATGCGAAATCCAACATTCACCCGTGGCGTGCCCCAAGCGTTTCAGCAGCCACAGCGACGGAGAGCTTGACGTTGGTGGAAAATCAAACATCAAATACCATAAGGAAGAAGACCCAGAAACATTGCCGAATTGGCCCATTTTTCATGCACCGTACAGAAGATCAACACCTTTCTACCACATACCTATGGATGCCAAGCAAGGATGACCAAACACAAGTGACCAGTGCTTCTCGGCATTGGTGTCAGAAACACACACTCTCGAAACATGCAAGGAGGTGCCTTCTGGTTTACACTAACGGCACCAAATACAATACTCATCCGTCCTCCTTTTCTTGCATTCTCACAATTTCACATTCTTTCTTGTCGACTACATTGTTGCACCGCGTTTACAAAAAGGTCCGGGCTCAAAGTAAGCTTGAGGGTTCAGTAATTCGCCCTCGGCCCTGCAGAAAGGCATTCAAACGTTCCTGCAGAAACGCCCTATTGGCCCTCCTCCCACCTCTCTGCAATGTGAGCTTAGAGGGTACCCAGCTTTTGGGTTCCCAGCGTCAATCAACGCGTACAAGGAGCACAGGGGCTAATTCTTGCATAGGGTCCTCTCGACGCGAGGACAGGAGTAATTAATGGTACCTTCTTCTTCTTCAACACGCTGATTGGTCTCAAGCTAAGCATAGTCAGCACGGAAAGAAGAAGACACAATGCCCTAATGGCTACTGGAGCTAATGCCAGTGCCGCTCCTGTCCTGTTTCCTGTTTCTCGCCCGGGGGTGATTTCTGCTGAGGTCTATTGGATGACATATTCGATGAGGTATTCTTTGAGGTATTCGTTGAAATACTTGCTGAATCTGAGAACTGCGGTGTCATAACCATTTCAAAGGGTTCTGGCAGGATCACATGTTGTTTGGAAAGGGGGCTCGCGGTGCACAGCCGTATTTACATGTATTTACGATATCAGTCCATTGCTGCAGGTTGATGGTCTCAAATTGAAATCCGGGGTGTATGACAGCATGTGCACCACTGCACGATTCCAGCAACCGATTCACCTCGGCTTTGCAACCCTCCTGGTGTGTCTGTTCGAAGAGAACTTCGCGCATGGGGTCATTCGGGGGCATCTTAATATATGACCTAGCAATGTGATTTTTCGTTGCTGCAATTGCAGTGAAAGGGGTATACTTTTGTATCCATACTCCTGAGCCAAAGTATGGATGACTCTCTGGTTGGTCCAACTTCTGTCTACGTGTGTTGGTGGTACATTTAATACAACGTGAAAGCTGATGCAATTGTGCAGTTGGTGCAGCCTGCCAACGAGGATGCATGTGGCTCGCGGGTAGTTCCACTTTGGCTTTGGCATGCAGTCTGCGTTAGCACGACAGTGCATGACAAGTTAATCCTCGCCTGCGATATTGCTCCTATTTGCAACTTTGACCTGAAAATTGAAATGCTGTCTGGCGAAAGGAACGAAGTTAGCTCAAAGATTTGGGCCTCTGTGCCTGATTCAACACCAGGGACCTAGAAATGCTGATAATGTGTTTCGCACTCATGGAGCCCGCTACATTGTGAGTGCCAACAACCCAAGCCACACCATCATGGAAGATAGAGGCGGATGATTTTGCCTTGTGAAGCCTGGAAATTCTGCACGGCAAAGGCAGGCAAGGAAAACCCAAGCCCGCAAGGAAGCGACATACTAGAAGCAAGCGAAGTGGAGACAACACCGATCAAGTGACACACAAAAATCGTGATTCTTAAGCACAGCGTCCCGTCTACCTGGAACAAGGCAGCAATCAAAACTGTTGTCCCTTTGTCTGCCTGCGTTGGAAGATCGTACAAGCAGCATGACAAGGCGCTGGCGGTGGACCTCCACCTCAACAAAGAATGCAAACAAATCTCGAGACACAACAGAAATCTGCCCAAGGAGGGTGGAACTATTGAAACCCAGAAAGCGAACGAATCACGTTGCAGACCCTGCAGTTCTTGCTGCTTGGGTATTTTGGGGGACATTACCAACGATTCAGGCCTTACCCTAACGTCCTAAGCTAAAACACTCAACATGTCAAATGAAAGTGTCTTGGCCACCGTGGCGTGAAGCCGCTGAAGGGCTGCCCTCGCTGCATCTCGCTCAGCGTCCTCCTGGAAATCAGTACCAAGGATCGACTGTAGAATCGTAGAACTTAGGCAACTCTGCAAGGCGGTGCTGAAGGCACTACACTAGACTGCACAAACGGCGAAACAGGCCTGGGAAAGCCGCTTCTGCAGCTGATAAGCTGCCTCATACTCATGTCAGTCTTCGCATCATGAGCATTGGGAGCAAAAGTGCTGGATGCACGCGGCAAACCCGAGGTCTCAGAAAGAGGACTGTGCCTGCTGCTCTCGAAATCTCAGGATGCCAGGTGCGTTGAAGCAACTGCAAAATTGAATTCAAAACACTCGCCTGGCATGCCAGCTGCCATCAAAATGCCAAGTCAACACCGGCTACGAAGCAGTGCGGCTCATTTTTCGTTCAAGAGAGGGCAGTGTAAAAACAGCTTCCAAAGCAACCGTCATCGCCGAGCCCGCGGCCTCCTCTGCCTGGTAAAACGCGCTCATGCGACAAACTGCACATGCAACATGTAAGCTCAAGAGCGATTGATAGCGCATCTGCCCAGTGTTTGAATCTGCAGGTACTGTATCTTGAAGAAACTTCATGGACTCACCTGCTTGCCATGGAGGTGCGTACATGCAGAATATCCACTCTCCAGCTTCGTTTGTCAATTTGATTGCGATATGCGCCGCATGTGCCGGATTGCCTGGCCAAGGCTTCCAGTGCTTCTCCCTGCCATCATCGCCTGCGGCACACCAGCGTTTCAGTTTCCGCAGCAGTTCATTCCTTGGCATGCCTCACAAATCTCGCAAACGGCATCAAAAACAGTGACAAAGCTACCAGTTCCAGGATCTACGTCATTATTTCAACCTGCAGCAGCATTTGCAGGGCGAGAACGCGAGCGTTGATCTGAAGTTCAGGCACGCAAACACTCAGACACTTCCTGGCCTTGCATGCCTCATCTGCTTGGGCGCATATCCTAAATAGGAGGCCATGCTGATTTGGATGGGTTTCATGGTGCTTGCTGCAAGCGTGTCTCTTGAAGGACAGCTGATCATGGCATGATGATTAAAGGGTTGCAAGAAGTGCTCTGAAGGTTCAATCTGAGACACATGCAGGGTGCAACCATTAGCAGGGTCCGAAGCTAACTTTGAGCCTCACAAGTTCATGTCCATGAGAAACAAAGCGCTGCTTTGAAGCTGCGTTTTCAATTCGTCCCCATCTCCATTTAGCGTATCATAATGTATCTATCTGAAATCTCCAGTATGCGGCCGAGCAAAAAATCAAATTTGCAGGCTGTCTTCTGGGGTCAAGCCCACACGCTACCAAAGCCTCGCTGGCACTGTCTCAAAATGGGCGCACTTGCATGCGCAGAGTCACGGCACGAAACAGCTTTGCAATGACTGAGAATCATGCGCCGACCATTGGAACCGAGCGCATGACACCCAATCTATCTACGCCATCCTACGCCTGGATGCTAAAGCTAAAGCTAAACACTTGCATCTCCCAGCTTGTTTCGGGGCTGTTCCCGACACAAACCAGTCGAGGCACAAAAAGCTTCGATCTGCAGCTGTTCCTTTGTAGCATGGTGATCTAAAGAATCACGACGGAGATATTACAATTTGCCTACGCAACGCACAATCATTCTCCTGAGCACTCCCTCGGACACAGCCTCTTGGTAGCTTATCTCATGTAGCTGCTACGTTGAAGTGTCATCCAAGGGCAGCGAACCAGCCTTCAACAAGGATGGAGGCGTTCTAAGCCAAGTTAATATCAATCCAGGGGTAGGCATTTCTGCGGCTGAACTGTGGGGGGGTACTGGTTGCAGAAATTCATGTGCTGTCCATTGCCGTAATTGCCCAGGCTTCTTCCAGCAAGCATGTTGGCACCCCGTAAGGATCTGGCAGCTCATTCTTCGCCTGCATCAGCACAAGTGGATCCAGGCGCTCAAACAGAAAACGAGCTCAGTCGGCCTCGACCGAGGCCTCGTGCGCCGGCAAAGCCGGCGAAGGCGGAGCGGCCTGGTCGCCTTGGCACCAACTCGCTTCTATGCACAACCTTGGCTTTCTTTCTTTGCATCCTGAGACAGGAACTTACCTGCGTCAGAGCCATTCATGGCCTGGTGTGATGGCATGGGATAGCAAAGCAGTTGTGCTGTCACCTCTGGTGATTCCATTCTAGTGGCTGAGTCCAGGACGCTCCCGAAACCGCCTGCTTGCACGCCTGGTCGACCAGCCGCGGGCACGCCTGCACTGGCGCCGAAGCCGCCTCCACAGCAACCCACACCTCACCCACTTACCAGTCTTGCTGACCATGCATCAAGAGCTTGGTTGAAGAAAAGGAGCGGAGGCAATTCACGCTAACTACCACTGCAGTTGCCTGCCGGCACGCCAGATTTGCCGAATCCGCCGGCTGGGACGCCGCGGTTGCTTCCATAATTGGATCCAACACCACTGCCGCCATAGCGCGAGCTGGATTCTCCATAGCCGGAAGATCTCCCTCCAAATCCAGAACCAGCACCGCTTCTGCTGCCAGTGCTGGCACTTGGTGCTGAATGCCCTGTAAAGCCATTACCTGACGTGGCTCCTGGAGTGTAGGCGCCGTTTGGCTTCGCCCTTTCAGGAGCACCTGCACCAGATTTCGTATCTTTGCTGAAAGCCCCACGCAAGCCGTCGGAGAAACCCTTGGCCGTCTTCTCTGTTGCTGCGGCACTTCTTGGAGGCTGAGATGACTGGCTGATCTGCGTGGATTCGCTGTTGCCGAAACCACCAGCTGGAACCCCGCTGCGGAAGCCACCAGATGGGACTCCCTGGCCTTGGAACACACAGAAATTCATCCGTGGATGTTTCACTTACGAGCGACACCTTCAACCCACATGCCCCATGAGCGAATCAGCACGTAAGCTTTGTGCCATCTTGCTGCATGCGCGATGTCTGTCGCCTGATTGTCTCACAACTGCAAACAGACCACCACGCTTGCAAGCACCAGCTTGGAATGGAATTGACGAACAAGTTGATGAATCAGTGACGTTGCTGTTACCAAGACACTCCGGCAACAGAGAGTTGTAGCCTGAGCCAGCCTGGGAGTTGGCTGTGCGCAATCAAACAGGTCGAAAAAGATCAGATGCTAAGACGTATTGAAGAAACCTAAGGCACCTCACATCGTCTCACCTGCTGGAAAATGAGGTGTGTGCCCCTTGGGTTGCATTGGCTCGACCCATCGGCTGTGAAGGCCGCCTGGCAAGCAATCCTAATTTGTAGAATGTCGCATATGTTTCTGCTATAGCCCTTCTACGCCAATGGCATACAGGCACCAGTGCAAAGGCACAGCACTTTGCAGAACAAAGCGAGCATCACGCAGAAAAAATGGGAAATCAATAAACCATAATGAGACCATCGCATGCCTGTCTCGCTCCATTTCCTGCTTCATCTCCCGCATGATCTGCACAAGGAGGAAAGGTCAGCAGAACTTGGCAAAACACAAATCCTTTGTGCATGCAGAAGCATTTCAACACAAGCTCGCATACTGCTGCTCGAGCCTGATCACAAACTTCGATGTTTTCGTGCATGCGTGCTTTCTCAAAAATCGCCCGCGCTTCCTCGTGCAAGAAAGCGCTATGATTCACGCTTCGCAATTCAAATGAGGAAGGGACCAAATTGGCCCTCTCAGCTTCTTCCCAGTTGCGGCAAAGGAAATGCCCCTGACATCACGACAGCTTGACCACCACAGACCACATTTGAAGCACTGTACCTGGCACAACGAAACCAATGCGCTGCCGAGGTTTTCCTTCTGCTCGGTGGACTGTGCCAAATCCTGTTACAGCTTGCAAATTCCTGTAATGCTCATTGCACAGATGGACAAAAGAAATGACTACACTTCGGTCCACATATTCGCGAGCATATCGCAATGAGTTTGGACCGTCTTGACCTCAGTTGAACCGGCGGCGTAATGCAACCCCAACGTGTTCCTGAAAAACATCCACACTGAGTCATCGACTGAGAAGATGGGCATGGAAGATCCGCTGGATACCGTTGATCTGACCAACAAATCTCAACTGTTGTATGCTACCACCGAATGAGTGCAAACTGCCGCGACCTCGCCATTTCGGTCGCCAATCTTGCGATGCAGCGCTAAGGCTTCTTCAGCTGCCTGCACGCAAGTTGTTTATGGTTCATGCCGGATTCATGCTTCAATTTTTGGGCCGCCCNNCCCCCCCCCCCCCCCCAGACCCAATGCACTGCAGTGAAGCAAGTACCATTTTTCCTACTGCTGCTGCTGCTACCACTCACTACTTTGCTGACGGGGCGCTTAGCCATGTATGGCAACTCATTAACTCTGGCCGCTTCCTTGCCTTCAAGGCTTCTTTTAGTCCGCGAGGCCGGATGCGCGCACCAGGATTGTTCACCTCAGACGGCGCACTGGGTAAGGCATCCTGTCTTGCGTATATCCCGGGCCACTGCATTCAGAAAGAGCTTGCGCAATCCCAGGTCACGCTCTCAGGCTTTGGCATCATAGTGAGCGACTTGCAACTGGACATTTGCCATACCTTCTCAAACTTGTGATGGCGTGCTTTTTGTTGGCTACTGGCTGAGTGCAGGGCAAGCAAGTGCAGCAGCCCGGGCAGTGTCGTCGTTCACGGGAGCCTTCCAGGCACGTGTGGGAAGTCAGTTGGCCTGCTTCTATGCGGGCCCCCTTGCCTTCTCGACCATCTGCAAAGCCTCCTTGGCAGCATCGATGCCCTCCGTGAACCTGTCGCGCACCGTCAAGCCTTGAACAGCACATCCTTGCAGCCCCAGTGCAGTGAAGTGCCTGTCTGCAGATGAATAGGCCTCACCCACTGCCTCATGTCACTCAGGAACTTTACGCCACAAGACTTCATCATCCTCCCCCAGGCCCAACATTGCCAACTCACACCAGGTCCTGCAGCGCAGTGATGAGCACCTTTTCATCACCAGATCTCCGGGCCAGCTCCTCATAGCTTAGGTACAGGACTACAGCCCAGCAGCGTGCATTGACATGAGTATCATTCTAACACAACCTCCAGTCCGGCTATGAAAACAAAGTGGCCTCAGCTTGCTTCGCGGTCTGCATCGCATTGCTGTTGGCTTTGAGTCCCAAGTGCCTGCAACACTGGTGGAGAGCATAGCATGTCATGGCAAATGTTGCCTGCGCAGTTGTTGGCTGAGGTCATGGCATCTGTGCCACTTGAGCAAGCGCTCGCGCTTCTCCAGCCAAATCACCAGCGGACTCAGCGCGCGAGCAGTTGACTTGATGTGCTGTGTTGTCTATGGCAAGCTACGCATGACGGTTCTGTACCTCTGGCCAGGGGCCTGGCACTGAACATCGAGGCCTGCAGCTTTGCAGGACAAGAGGTACTGCGTTCCCGAAATATGCGGCATTATGCGGCGTGGGCTGCCGACGGCATCTTTGGAAAGTCGCAAGGCATCACGCGGACCCATGGTCTGTTGCGTCCTGGGCCGTGCTGCCACGCCGCTACGTTCTACAGTATGCTACCACATGCTGTCAGAGCAGGAGAGGGTCCGGAGGGAGGTTCCACGTAACCGAACGGCAAATTGTCATATGTAGCTGAGGTCCACACATCTCTGCTAGCCCTAGGGTTGCTGATGCCTGCCGGCGTCACTGACTGCAGATTGCTCTGAAGTGCAGCCACAGTCCAGGTGTCCTGGTGCACCTGGCCTCCTCCTCCTTGTAGCCCGCCTCCCTAAAAAGTTTCACCTGGTCGCGCGCCTAGGACGTTGTCAGGGAAGGGCTTTTTGCTCATAAGTCCACATTGGTACTGGGTGCCAGACTGCCTGGATCGCGGAATGCGGATCCCCGGCCTGGACGGCAGAGTTCGCTGGCCAGCTCATACACAGCATTGGGATAGGAACAGCTAGCTGCTGCAGGGCCAGTGTACAGGCCACGATCGATTGCTACTACATGCCGAGAACTGCAGCTTGTATTTTGGGGTTCCAACTGCACCAGTGAACAGACTGAGAAACGCAAGTCTGCACGAACATTACCCAAGAAACCTTTATCCGGCTTACTTCTAATTCCCTATTGCACTAAACATCAGATGCGCTGCCTCAAGATGCAAGCTGGTCAGGAGCTGAAGGACGCCGATGCATCCCTCGCGTACAAGACATGTGTGGATTCTACATGCCTTTGACTACGCAGCTCAGTGTGTTCCTAAACTTAAAGCAACATGCAATTTGCAATTTCGCGTTTTCGACGAATAGGCGCCCAACCTTCATGTCTCCCGCTTCTTTAAAAAGCCGCTGTGCCTTAGTTTGCGTATGCCTCACTTCTGCAGCTACGCAGGAGATGGTTGCACGAGTGGATTCCATGCACTGGGACCGCTTCAACGAGCACCAAGACACTTCCTTGGCAGTACGCGAGGCCTCCATGGCCCGTCTGGCCTGCAGAGTACCGCAAGGCTTAGGGCAGCTGCTGCAGGACGGTATTCCTAACCTTGCTACGAGAGTCCTGTGTCTTTGTAATACAGGCATTTCTGGCCTGGCACTGAAGCTCCACCAACAATTGCGTGGCCTGCACAAGTGCCAACTCAAGCGAAATAGATTCTGCAAACTTCACGAAACCCCCGAATTGGGATCGCGAAGCGGCCGGCCTTTGCCTCACCTTTGAGGTCGCCCATCTGCCAGGTTGCATAGGGTTTATATAGGGTTTCCCAAAATTAGGAGTGCACTTCTGCAGGTCTTTAGTATTTGGGGGCTCATATTGGCGTGTATTCCCACTGAATTCAGGGATCTGTATGTTGACGGCACTCTGCCGGGATGTTATATCATGGTGAGATATTCTCAACGGAGATGGCGACAGGGGAATTGTGGTACGGCCGCTTCCAGGTCGGGTAGGCCTCCCGTAGCCTCTCAGCAGCTTCTGTTGCTCTCCGCGTCGCATCTCGAGGTCGATCCTGAATGCATCTACAGAGAGACATATGGGTTTGCTGGCTGCCAATAGGGCTGCCAGCGCTTGATGGTCATTGTAAGGGGGAGTGGGCCCAAGCACCCCTTGCCTGTGTGATCATGGCTTGGGCCATCTTCATCTGCGCATACGCCTGGGCCATCACTGAATTTGATATTGACACACTGTCCAAATAGGATGTTTGGGCAGCCTGCCTCACGACGCCTATCTCCAACCTTCTTGGCCATCATCAACTCCTGACAATCTGCTCTCATGCAGCGAGATTCAATGTTGCAGCGTTGTGTGCAGCCTTTGCACTTGACTTATGAGCTCTGAAACCTATGGTGGCCGCGGCAGACCTCCTCAGCAACAGATGCTGCTTTCTCCTTGCACAGTTGGCGAAACAAGCTCTTGCCTGCACGCCTTGATTGCCCGATCTTGGCTGGCTTTTCAGCAGCGAATGCATTTCGTCCTCCTCACCATTTGCCTGCATCACAGCCTCAAATCCAAGTACCCTTCCATACCTTTCTTCGGTCTTTTGCGTCAAGAAAAAGCAAAGCCAAGGCCTGAAGGGCCATACCGATGACCTCGACATCCTTGACCTCTCTTGCCAAAGCCAATGCTTGCCTCCCGGCCTTGCAAGCTGTTTGCGGATGCGACTGCAGCGAGCCATGCAAAGCAAAATCTATTTGATTCCTACCAGCCCTCCACCTCGCCCCGAAACTAATAATCTCCAACCCCGAAAAACACGACCCTTAACCCCGAACCCGCTCAAATACCGAAGCCCCAAACTGAACCCGTAAAATTTAAACCGCTGAACACCCTCAAACTTCTAAACGCCTGTATCCTTCAGAATGCTCCAAGGGCTCCAAAGATGCTGTTGAAAACCAGAACTCACAACCCGCCAAGCGCGGTCCGTGCAGATTTGCCCCATCGCTATTGGCCAACTGTTTGGACTCCCTGCCTTCATGGCATCCAGCTTCTGCCCTGCTGCGACGTGAGCCTTATGCTGAGCAGTTCGGTCTGGGATTAGTGTCAGGACGAGGAGCCCTGGACCAAGCAAGCACAATTCCAAGCGAGGGCCTGCCGCGGCAAGGCTCAAATCGAAGCTGTTTGCATGCGGTTCTCTTTCAGCAGCCGGTCGTCCAAAATGCTGTGGATGCACTCAGAATTGCTGCCTCGGTCTTGCTGTCGCAGGCTTCCTTCGCCAATGCCACTGCGTTCAGTGCTGCCTTTCGCGCTGCAGCCTGAAGATTCGCAAGGTCGGAGCATGCATTGACAAAGGAGCTCTGGCACCTGAGCCTTCATGCTGAGGTAAGCTTTTGCCTCCTCGCCTCAGGACCAGGACCAGTACGGAAAGATTGAGAGTTTCCAACATGAAGCACAGGAGTCGGACAGGCAGCCAGGGCTGCCCCTTTGGGGTCTCCCATTCGCTCACGCAATTTGCACGCCTGCCCACGTATATATGAATCGACCAGGCTTAGTGTTGCATAGCCTACATAGCTAGTATGGTGCGGAAAATGCTGCCTCTCGTGCTGGCTGGATGGCTTGAGCACCCTGTCACATCTCAACATGCCATTTGGAATGCAGCCCCTTCATCAACGAAGCCACATGCAGCCAGCCTCTGTCGCAGAGTTGCGTGCCTCGAGCGAAATGGGGGCTTGGTCCGTCCAACCACCTAATTGCCTACATCCCGAAGCCTTCGCGCAAGCTAAAAGCAAAGCTGAGAGCTCGCGAGCCTCAGGTCAGCACAGCAGGGCATAGTGCAGAGACGCTACTCTGGATTATGCGGGCTGGTGCAGTCTGAGCTTCTCCTGCTACCACTGGCAACTACGTGGCACGGGCAACTCCTTTATTTGCTCATGCGCCGCGGTCTTCTCTCTGAGCACCTTCAATCATCCGGTTCCTTGGATGCTGACGTGACATCCATCACTGCTTAACAAGTAATTGTCAGATTTGTTCAGTGTAGATTTCCTTTCAGGAGTCATTCTCGAAAACCTTTGGAGACCATTTCGATTCTGGACCTGGCTTTGAGGCACTAAGACATCAAATGGTCCACTGGACCCTCCAAGGCACCAAGCCACTCGGCCGGTATTGCTCCTCGCAGGTGGCTTCTTAACACTCCCCGCCAGGTTCACATCTACTGAATCCAGTGGACGGAATGAACACACCATGTCACCACACCATGTTAGCATCGTCTTTTGGACGCCTACCTTGCCAGGTTTGCCAGGCCCCAAACGCAAGCGTTGAGCGGGCCGAGCTCTGACGCTGCGTTGCCTCTCCAGAGGAGCTGCTTGCCACCCAAATCTGCATTTCACAAAGATATCTTTTAAGCTTTCCGCCTTTGCCCATTCATCTGATCCTGAAGAATGTCTTGAAAAGGCGATGGTGAGGACCAGCGGCCGATGTGAGAGAACATGTCAGGGCCGACAAACGGCCAGTCCGTATGCACAAGGTTAACAGATCTTGGAATGCCAATCGAAAGCCAGACTGCCATCACAAATGTGGCAAGGAGCCCGTATGAGGTCTGCAAGCTGACGGTTGGTGCTACATGTTTCGAGACCAGAGCAGGGCTCTGAACTGCAGGCACTTGGAGGAGGAAGGCATCATCACTCGATAAGACTGGTTCGCTCCATGCACCGGCTACAATAGCTACATTTCTGACCAGCGCGGCCGGAAAGTCAACCACGAAGAGCCTGACAGAAAGCCACAACCATGTCCACCATGCTCCTGCAGTCACTGGACTCACAGACTCTGGCCGAGACACAGTGTCCACACCCACGTGAGGAAGCGGTCTCCGTTCAACGTGATAAGGAATAGGTTTCCAAGATGAAAAACGATCGCGGTGCCTACCACCAAATGTCGCATTGACCTTGCAAGGGGTCAATACGAAAGTTAGCAAGAACGAGCATTTGCTGGCGTATTTTGCTGCATCCTGCCACGCTGCGGGTAGAAAAGCGCCAGCGGACAAAGAATCTCGAACAGCAGGCCGCAGCTGCAGAGTACCTGAAGCCAAAAAGCTGAATCTTTCAGTCCCAGCGATTCGAGAACTCAACAAACAGCCCATCTTCCGGCACAGGGAAATAGCACCCGCGCACTGGCCAGGCATGAGCCCTGCACAGCACCTCGACAGACACAGCTGTGAAAGCCCTCTTGCCTGCCTTGTGCCAAACCAGCACTGTGCGCAGGGTGCTGAGGCATTTCTTAAACCAAGGCACAGCAAAAAGATGCTTGCTCCACTGCTGCTCCTCAAAAGCACAAATGAGCCCATGCAAGAACTTCAGTCAATCTCAAATGATTGCTGCGTTGCAGCCGAGAAGCCCTCATGTACAATCCCCTCAGGCACTCTGTCGATGGCTCTGCTGAGAAAATTCGGGATGCTGACGGAACTAAGTTTGGCAAAGGCACGCGTAGTGCTGCAAGACAGTACCATCCATCCAGTTCAGCCCGGCCGCACTGAGCTTGTAACATCCAGCTAAGAAATAGGAAGTCACCATCCTGGGCTGCTTGTGACCAGATTCAAGAGGAACAGCGGGGGTGGAAATGTGCAGCTCCGAGTTGGAAGTGTCCTGTGAGAAACATTCCTGGCTCTGAGTTTGCAAGCCTTTCACTTTATCTGACAGCTTAGGCACACTGCCATGATGGCCTTGTTGCACCATCGGCTGACCCAGCGAGCTTCGGGTATGCCACCATCCGCCAGCTGCGCAAATGCGATGATCAGCAAGGCCTCAGCATTGGTCGCCAGAGCTCTGGCCAGCAGAGAGCTTCATAACTTGGCACAGCTGTTCTCCCTGTTAGTTTTAGGATTGAAGTTGACGTAGACCTGCCAGACGATACGATGTTTATATTGCCCACTGTTCCTTCATGCCTGTGGCCATGCTCCCACGCCACACCCAAGTGCAGTACCGCAGCACCTGCACAGTGATAGCAACCCTTCCTCCGCGCACATCAAGGAATGCCTAGATGTGGTGCATGCGGGCATTTTCTGAGGGCTCGAGCAAGTGCTTCTGGAAAACATAAAGCCACGTTTACCTTCTAGAGTAAGGGAGTAAGATGCATCATTCGTCTCAGTTCATCTACGGCTACTGTCTTCTTCAAGTGGAAGCGGGTCGCTGGTGGCCCATGGACAATATATAGACTTCAACATTGTGCAACACGGTATCTGTGGAGAGGGTTGAACACGACACGGGTCAACCGAAGCAACAGCCTGCACACCCATTGGGGAACAATGGAGTAGAGTAGTAATGAGTTTGGCACATGTTGCCGGAGAAGTCTGCCACCGTGCATACAAGATGCCCAAGCAGGCACCAGCGGGTCTGTCAAGCGCGCTGAGAAGCCCTGAAAGTAGAAGTTGAGAAGTGCCGTCTTGAGTGTGGAAACCTTCAGTGGGCCACGCAAATGGCACGGGGCCTGGCGCACATGAAAAAATTGCAAGAAGACGAGAGGCAGAAGCCATCACCCGAAGTGGGCAGCTTGCGTTCTCTCCACGGATGTGCAGCCAGAGAAGAAGTCCGATGGCAGACAGCCAGGACAGGAGGAGCCAGCTTTGCATCCGCTTCAACCAAACGACAATCGCTGCCTCATCGTGCAAAGTTCAGGCTCATCGTGCAAAGTTCAGGCTTCAGGATTAAGCGTACATCCTGCTCTCATGCCATGGCATGCCATGGCCATCGGAAACCACTCAACGAAGGGGACTCATGGCTTCATGCTGCCTGGGGCACCGTTGCTGCGGTCATGTTGAAGGGCCTACCCGACACGTCGAAAGGGATCAGAAAGGGCATCAACACAGCGGGGTGTATGTTGGCCTCACGCGACCTGAACAGAAATCAAAGTCACAAAATCGATTGCCATCCTGGCGCACTGTGGAGGGAATCACTCAGCTTCAGGCCCCGATGATGACAAGTGTTCAGAAAACTCGTGAAAGCCGCCCTCCTTTGCCTCCAAGTTAACTTCTCCAGCGCTTGCACTGAGGTCGTGCCAAAATGCGGCCAGACCTTTGCTCTGCTCATGCTCTACTACCGCTCTCCTTTGCTTTACCTGGGGCCATCTAGCAATTTAGCATGCGGAGGAAAATGTCTGTCACTGGGCCAAGACCACTTGGCCGAATATACTCTGGAGCTCTCAGATTTTTGATGTCAACTAAACATCATGAACCAAGAGTTGAACAGAAGTGGGAAATAGCCGGCCTCCTTGCCAAAGATAGGTGTGAACCAGGAAGAAGAGCAGAAGAAGTGCTCGGCTCCTGAGCTTCAGATTTTTCGTGAAATCCGTGGACGTCCACATTTCCCTTGCAATCCCCTGCAGGCTGGCATCAGTGCGGGTTGGGCCTGCGGAGGGAAGTCGCACCACCATGCAGCGAGATGAAGAAGGCCATGTCGCAACCAGCACAGCCTGCTAGGCAAAATGCTCACTGCGGCTCTCGTACCACCAAACAAGTTCAGGAGACATGAAGTGCTGGGAGCGCGGCTTCCTCCGATCTGTTTGGAGAGGCATGACTACATGAAAGGAGCCTTTGCTCCAAGCACAGCAGCCACAGCTGCTGGGTGGCCTGGCCTAAGAAACTTGACCCAAGAAGCAGCGCCTTAGATCCTTGAACTCCAAAGAAGACAGCTGCACATGCAAAATAACTAAAGGAGCTGTGGCCACTTGGGGTCCCGCTTCGGCCATGTCAGAAGGCCTTTTGCTGGCATGCACCCTGGCTTCAGATGCCATTCGCGCCACCTTGTCTGCTGGCAAAATGCAATGTGCCGACAGCCACAGCAGTGAGTTATCCTGCAATCACCTCCCAACCTCCGGACCAACTGAGGTCGTCACCAAACTGCAGCGACCCTGAGCAAGGTAGATGTCCTGGGAGACTGGGAAGCTTTCGGCATTGCTACGGGGCCCCTTCTGCAGGTCGAAGCACTGCTAGAGCGCGGTAGGCCATGATGTGTCGCAATGTAGGCGCGTCAGCCTGGCTCCAGGCTGGCTCCAGGCTGGGTGAAGGAATGGCAAAAGTAGGAAGAGCGGCGACAAAGAGAACCCCAGGATGCATAGTATTGAAAAGTCAGGATGATACCCAACCTCGCCTTATGCATCGCAGACCTGCGAGACAAGATCACTTGATATCACTGGAAGGCCAGGTCCAGCTGCTGCGAAACTAGCGTTCTGTGTCAGTCATCTCGGAGCTGGGTGGCGTGCAAGGATTGCTGCGCTGCCGGGAGAGCTTGTGCGTGGCTGTCCTCACATTGTGCTGGCGTTGGTGCCGGGTTTAGCCCACAAAGGTCGGCATGAAAAACATATGCAAGGAGGCTAGCAACAGGTATGCAGTCCATGGCCAAGTAGATTTCGGCCAAAGCCAGCTGCATGACAGCCTTTCCAGGCACCAGCATGAGAGCCAACGATGTAAGGACCAAAATGCCTTTGCCACGATCTCGCCATGCTTTTGGAAAGTGAAGATCTCGCTGTTTGCTGCCTGCAGCTGTCATGCCTGAGAAATAAACAAAGAACGGCAGTAGCAAAAGAGCCTGAAGCGCTTGCTCCAAGACCTGCCATGCCAGAGAACTGCTTCGCGCAGCGCAGACGCTTCCAAGGTCGTGCAACCATTTCATGTTACAGGTGGTCCTCGATATCTGGAAGTCCTTCAAAACCTTTGTGCTCAGCAGCCTTGATTCTCGCCTCACGCCCAACATGTGACACGGGATAGCTACACAAAGCTGGCGGGCCTTCGCTACGACTCGGAGAGCATCGGCCTCTCGCTCTGCATCGCCCCCCTGCGCCTCAGCAATGGGCACTGTCATTGCTACGGTATGTTGCGGTCCTCAGGTGCACGAGCCTGTGAAAGCTGATCCTTCCCACCCGAGCAATATAGCACTTGTTCTTTTGAGAACCAGGCTGCTTGGCGCTGAACCTTCCAGGGATGATCAACCACAATTGGAAGTGAATGCCACTTTCTTAAAGTCATTTACCGATCTTCCTCAGACGATGCGCTATCCTTGAGACTCAACTTCCAGACAGTTGGTTGACATTTTTCACGGCCTCCCCGGCCAGAAGCTCGGCTTCCTGGTAGTGGCCATCCTGCGACATGAAAGGGTGATGGGCGATATGTGGCGGTCATGGTTGTAAGCAGCTGACTTCGAGGACATCAAGAGCATCGTCCAAATCATCTCGTCCCCTGAGCTTTGTGCTACAAGTAGGCAGCACTGCTGGGAGAAAATGCCGTGCCAAGGCCCTCACACAATTCGATCGTCGGCAGGATCTATGGCAGAGTCCTCTTGCGGGGAAGGAGTCTTTGCAGTTTCTTTTGCCTATCAGGAGAAGCTGGCCCCAAAACAGTCTGGACCGCATACACTCGGCAAGCGAACCTTCGCAGGGATAGCTGTCACACCACTTCCAAGCCCCGAGGTGCCTTCAGCCAAAAGGTATGACGACTGCTGCATGTGTGCTGCTCAGCCGACAGCCTCTGGCAGGCACTGGACCTTACAATTGCTGCAGGCACTCCATGGCACGCCAGCCCGGTCCCCAAGAGTCGCACTGGAGGGCAGCTTTTGCCTGACCTCTTCAGTTTTGGAATCTGCTGGCAGGGTATCAGCAGGCTTCGCTGCCGGCACCTGGCGTGGAACAGGAGGCAGGCGAGATTGTGCGTCCATCGCACGTCCAGCCTCCCTTTGCTGAGGGGGCTCCACTTTCTGGGCTGGCGCAGTGCTGCCTCCATTGTCGGCCAAGCAGCACGAAGTCTTGCAGGCAACTTCACTGATTGATCATCTTGCATACTTGTAGCTGTCCCTGTCTGCATACGACTTCCAAGCATGAAAGCCTGCGAATGCTCCTGAGGTGCTGGCTGATCAAAGGTGGCAGCTCATCATCATCTTCTTCGTCCGCATCCTCCGGTGGCTTTTGGACGTCCTGACCATTTGATTGTCTGAGTGGGTCGGGCCAAAGCAGTTTGTTCAGAGCTGGCCTGCTTTGAGAAAGAAGGAGTTTTGTCCTGTGGTTCAGTTGTCGCAATAACTCGGCATGCATAGCGAATCCATGGGACAGCGGTCCTGCTTGGGTGGCGATGCCGTGTGAGATGCTGTTGTTGCCTGCGAACCTGGAACTGCAGATGGGCCCGAGTGCATCCAAAGGGGCATGATGGCTGTCTCAGCGCGTGTCCACTCCCAACCAGTGGGGGCAGCTCGTCATCACTCTCCACCTCGCAACAGCGCGCAACAGCTTCAGCATTTGCATTTGGATGCTTATCCCTGATGCACAGAGCTGATGGGACCTCTGTGATGATAGCCTTAGCATCAAAGGAGGACAGATGTGCTTACTCTTGCAAAATGCACTAAGGTCAATACCATGGAGGGACGGGAAACCAGTCACAGGGGGCTCGACTGGCTGATTTGCTTGAGGCGCGAGGAAAACAACACAAGGAGGAAGACACAGCTAATCACCTGCAACACGCAAGTCCAAGGCTCACCCCGCCGGATCTGCACACATGCACAAGCCCATTTCCGCATGCGGGCAACTCATGCCACTCCAGTGTCAGCTGTTCACCTCATACTGGCGTGACGCCATATGCCATCCATTGCTTGGAACACATGGCCGCACGAAGCCTGCGACGAAGACCACGAAGCTTTTCGCAGTTCCTGCAGGGTGGCAATCAGGATGTCAAGACATGTCCAATGGCACAATGACAGGTGGCGCTTTGCCTCATCCAGAAATTTGTTGAGCTTGTCCTCAACCATTGCTTCGATCTTCTTTTCCATCCTTGCGTAACGGGAGGGCCTCCTACCAACTTCCCTAAACTTTTAGCACGTCACCCTTGCTCTAGCCTGCTGTGTCTGCTGCTTGACATCTGACCCTCCAACAAAGAGGAAGCATGCTTGCAGGTCCCATCCTGGTGCTGCCCAGAGCTTTGTTTCAAGCGACTAGGACCATCCAAATGATGCCATGCCTAACATTACCTAACAATACTTCTCAACTCCAACCAGCAGTCACGCAGCCGCACGCAGTTGCGAGATTTTATGAGCATGCCCTAGTCTTCATATCTCAAATTTGTTTGGCCCACTGGGCGAGGATTGGGGCAACTTTACGGTGTGATTTGTCTGCTGCCGCTCTACGTATGCTGCACTCTATTGGGCTTCTTGGGTCCAAGGTTGTCTCATGCCAATACCGAGCGCTGCACACATCTGAGAGGTCTTTGCTCTCCCGGCGCGGATATAATTCTGAGACCACCTTTGCCAAAATCTAAATGAAGGGCATGCTTCATCATCACGTCACTGTGGATCATGCAAGCGCAGCTCCAAGTCAGACACATGCACTTGAGCGAGCACGTATGAACGTGAACGACTCGCAATCCATTCGGCCGTTTCACAAAGGTGCATGGCCATAAATGAGGGCACAGACCACAAGTATGCTCACTAGTCGCAGTTGCACAAGCAGCGTCTGGTTCTGGATACGGCTAAATGGCACCTTGGTGGCCCCGCCTGCGCCAGCTTTTTTATCTGCTTTGATTCTATGGCCTCCAAACACCGCCATTCCATGTCCAAGATTCTGAACAAGCCCATTCTAAGCTTCAAGCCTGTTGCCGAAGGAAATTCATCAGCTTTTGGTCTTCTCGCTTGTGGGCGAGTAGAACGACACGCTGTGCCATCCTGGCACTTGGCAGAACTGCACAGATGGCACCAAACTCGTATGCGCATGCTGCGCATGCCAGAATGAGGGATAGGGCCGCCTGGCCGAGGCCCATGCGTCTGACATCACGAGTGAGTCCTCGGAAATTGTTCCGGAGCCTCAAGAGTACCAAGCAAAAACCAAACCAAATCGTGCTGGTTCTAGAACATCGTGGGCTCATGGCGGTACCGTATGACAGGAAAGTCCGGCACCTAAAGGCAATTCGCTTTTCAGGCTTGCTGAATGCTGCGAAACAGGCAAGCGGGCAAACAGCACCCACCTCTTTGGAGGCAATGTCAAAGACCGCTTTCCTGGTGCCGAGCACCCTTCCAACAGACACGAGCTCGCAGTGAAAACGCGCCTTGCTTCTTCAGTCGGGCCGCCTCTCACGCCCACGTGCAAACGGCTCCTGCCAAAACTGGTATGGCAGGATTGTGGGAGCATGCGCACCCATAACTATCTGCACTCCTTCTGGGATGTATGACCTGTGGCGCTGACTTAAAGATCCGCTTACAATCCTGCAGGGAAAAGTGGTTTGCGATACAATCCATTGGTGATTGCAAGCAGGCCAGCCGCACAGCAATCACAAGCCCTTGCAACATGGAGACAGTACGCTGGGCATGACTTTCTCGAACCTTGGTTATACAACAATCATGGGAGCATCAGAATGGATTGCTGCAGTTGTTCCATATCATGATCTAGGAGCGGTCTTGGGTGGGCCTCGGTCAATCGTTGAATCATCCATGGCCACTACCCATTTCCATTGCCTCATGCACAGCGTGCACGCACAGTAGCATGTGTATCGCCAAAAGGGTGCCTGTTTCGGAACTCTTCTTCCAATATGTCAGTGTCCTGTGGACGAACACAACAACCAAACTGCAGATGCACTTTCTTCCCGAGCCTCCTCACCAATGAATTGCAACAGTTTCTTTGGTGCCGTCTGTCGACCAAGATAAATTGAAAGCTTGACTTTCGAGTGCATTGAACCATTGAAAAAGAATGAAAAAGAAATGCCTGTCGCAAGTCTCGTAGAACTGCAAGAACATCCAATCCTTTTTTCTGCGCCTCGCACGCTAGAAGCACTGCACCTGCTCGCTCTCAAGTTTTAAGTTTCATCATCAAAAGTACTGAGCGCGCAGGCTTCATCCGGTCCATGCTTGGCATAATCCACGAGACCTAACCTGGCAAGTTCCATCTCTTCTACCGAGAAAGAATTGATGAAAAATTCTGCACAGGCCGTGGTGAAATCTTGTTTGCGGGCATGTATTTCGAATCACCCCAGCTTGATTTTGTTGATTCATGGCAAACGCGACATGACGGCTTGCCCTGCAAAGCCCTTGCCTGCTGAGCCCGGATTCCATGCCACGTCAAATGCCATGTTTCTCTATAGATACTCCGCATAAAAGGTGTTGCCGATCTTAATCTACATCGGACCGATCAAGGGTCTCCTTACCGTGGCACAAAACAATCCGGAGAGCGTCCTGCTATCACATCCGCATGTGATTTGCCGAACAACGACCCAACGGTGCGCTCTCTCACTGGTGCTGCAAGGCCCCCAGAGCCGGTCAAAACCAAACCGAGCCCTCTCTGACGCAGACGGAACTTTCCGCCACGCACATTTACCCAAGTGTCACAGGCCACAGGAGCATCTGCACATGCGGACGCCTAAACAACATACCCTTTGCTGGGCCTCTGGAGGAGCCATTCTACCAGCCTGGTTCCTGTTTGGGAGTCGCTTACAAAAAGCGGTCCCGTGTTGGGAAACCTTTAAGGTCCCCAGTGCTGCATGGAAGCCTCATAGAGATTCCGCAAGTAAAGCACGTGAATATTCCTACATCTGTGTGTGTACACCCTGATTGCCGCTTCCAAGGGTTTCAATGCACATTTACATGACAATTACAGCGGGGGGCCAAGAGGGGTGGGGAAGGGTTGCACTAATGAGAATGGATTGGACGAACTTTTGACTTGGAAGTGGCCTGCTGATATATGCCAATATACAAGGCAAGCGGCTGCAAAGGCAAAAGATCTCGGAATCGAAGAAGCACATAACCAGTCACGTGCCGTCGGACAGCCAATGAAAGGATAAAGTCGCCTTGGGTGGGTTGCGCTGTGTCAACTGCACGGAAAAAATCATCTCACGAAGGCAAACCGCATGCTCAACTGAAGCCCGCTCCGCTGTCATCTGGAGCGAAATTTGCGCCGATTTTCCTCTGGTTGCTGGAGCGAAATGCCTGGCAGAACACACGTCGCACGTGGTATCAAGACATATCAGAATCAAAACAACCTCCCTCATCTGTCGCTGCCTGGCGTTCGTAACGCTCTTCCTGCAGCCCTGGCCTGACAAGATAACAACTGGCTCACTCACAAAGACCACCTTTCCTTGTCCAATACCAGCAAAACAAAAAGGCGGTGGAGAAAAGTTTCCCCCTCAAGTTTTGTCACAACAAACTGTTGCTGTTAATGGCGTCAGGACAAAAATCTAACAGTACGAGTACTAGCAAAATAATTGGAATACAATTACTAGTAGTAATATGAGTAGTAGTTGTACTAGTACCAGTACTAGCAATAGGAATAATAGGAATAATCAAAATAATAGGAATAATAATAGTAGTAGCAGCAGCAGAAGCGGTAATAATGGTGGAAATACGAGCAGCAGAGCGGCGGAGGCAGCAGCAGCAGCAGCAGGCATCATCGTCGTCATAGCAACTACAATATGAATGGAAAACTAGCCTTGTTTCTGATGCTAGAAAAATGGCACGAATCGTGCGAGTGTTCCCGGCTTCACTCAAGAACAATTGACAACACATTATTTTCCTCCCATTTGTTGCACCCTTACGCCGTTCCATCAAGAAACAATAACAAGCCAGCGATGGATGGGAAATGTTTCATGTTACCCCCTCCTCCCTCCCATGCTTGAGGGTTCCTCACGCTGAAACAAACCATAAATGGTACCGGCATGCAATCCACACGCGCCTTCCTAAATCGTCCAACTCTTTTTGCAAGCCGTCATCGAAGTCCTCCCAAACACGATTTGCTTTCTTTGCCATCATAAGCACGTTTGATAAGTTTCTCAAGACACATTGTCCGGAAAAGGGCTGGCCCCAACGCCGTCTGACGTCAGTGCCCTGCAATGGTGGAACAACATTTGCCACACTTCCGGTTGTCAACCGCAAAATGCATGCAGCCTTGCCCCACGAGTAAAGCCACACCTGTTTGCATGATGCCGCGCGCGTCTCAACCGCAAGCACATGACCTGAGGGCACAACCTGGCACCCAGCGAAATGCATTCGCCTCCACGGCTCATGAGTTGTTGGCTTCCTAATGATTGACACGAATAATGTTGTTTGCATGCCAACCTGCCCACAACCAGCGGCCAAATTGCCGACCACAAGCTCCCATGAAAGCCGCGTCTTCAAATCGCTTGTTTTCGTTTGGCTACGCATTGCTGCTTGTAGGCACAATGCTGGAATTGTTGCTCCTTGGTTTGCAAATGGTGCGACATGGTTGCCTCCCTTCATTGACGTGAACAATCCTCGGCATGTCAGAAGTGATGTTTTTCAAAAATCAGCGAAGCTCCAACCCCTTCCACACACAGGGCAAGAATCAAACAACATTTTAGCCCGGCCCCAAAGTGCCAATGCTCGCGAACATGTGCAGCCACGGACCAGGAGGTGGACAGGATCATACAGGATCCCATTGATGGCTGGATCTTTTCCGTAACCCCTGTTCCGGCCCACTGCCCCGCCGAGTTGTCGATGAAGGCCATCCACTCGGGGTTGAGGCCGGGGCCCAGTGTGACAATTGCCAGGATTTGGGCAAACACATCCAACATGTTGATGTACGCCCTCTTGGATCCGTCCCATCCGCGACGGCCAGAATGGATTTGGGCTCCCATTCTTTATCATTTACCGTGCAGATCTCACCGCCCAGAGCAGGTAGACGAAGACCGGTGCATTGAGGTCGCCGGAGGCCGCCAAAGTCCGGCGCTGAAGATCTATTTGGCCCCATGTCAAAGCGTCATACATTTTCGACTCCACGTGCTCATGCCAGACGCGGGCCAGCACTTTTTCCGCTCCAACGCCAGCACCATCAAGCCACACAAACTTTAATACCGCTTTAGATGAGTTAGAAGATGTGGGCAACATGGAAGCATTGGCAACACGGCATGCTTTACAAAATGCATTTACAAAATGCATCTTAATGCCACGCCAATTTCAGCCATCCCCCCGTTTTCAAATGCCAAAATTGCGGACACCTTTGCGTACATTGGCATCCCCTGAACGATTGCAGTCAGTCAGTCAGTCAATCAGTCAGTCAATCAGTCAGTCAGTCAGTCAGTCAGATGGGTGTTTATTTAGCTGCATCTTCTGTTGACCAAGAAAGAACACAACTGACTCACAAGACCATGCAGCCCACCCTCCTCCGTTCCTCACCAAACACTCTGCATCCAAAGTAAAAACACT